ATACATGCATATATACAGACATACTTACACATTTATACAGACATCCATACACACATACACACAGACATACGTTCACAATGATATGCAGACATACATTCATACTGACATACAGACATACATATATACATACATAACATACATACAGACATATATACATACATACTGACAGACATATAGACATACATACATACATACTGACAGACATACATACAGACAGACAGACATACATACATACAGACATAGACATACATACAGACAGACATAAATGCATGCATACAGACATACATGCATACAGACATACATGCATACAGACAGACATACACATACATACATGCATACAGACAGACAGACATACACATACATACATACATACAGATACATGCATAGACATACATGCATAGACATACATACACATACATACATAGGCATACAGACATACATACACACATACATGCATGCATACAGACATACATACATAGACATACATACACACATACAGATAGACATATACATACAGACAGACATAGACATACATACAGACATACATGCATGCATACAGACACAGACATACAAACATACAGACAGACATAGACATACATACAGACAGACATACAGACATACATACACATACATGCACATACATAGATATACATACATATACATACATACAGACAGACATGCATGCATACATACATAGACATACATACAGACATACATACATACAAACATACATGCATGCATACAGACATACATACATAGACATGCATACAGACATACATACATACAGACACATACATGCATGCATACAGACATAGACATACATACAGACACATACATACAAACATACATACATACATAGAAATACACACACGCACACACATACAAAGCTCATTTTCCAGCCACCCTCCTGTCTCTTACCTTTTCTTTGCAGGAGGGTGGCTGGGGCTGATGGGAGTAGTCGGCTGGCTCTCCCTCACTGCCGCGTGGAATGAGCTGGGAGGAAGTGACAACTTCCTCCCAGCAACACTTGCTGTGGCTGCTTTTTTTTTTTTATTAAAGGGGCCCGGTCGCGCTATACCATGGCCACAGCGCTGACCGGGCCCCTGAAGATATAGGGCCCATCGGGTGGCCCTAAGTGCATGGGCCATCCAATGGGCCCCATCAGTGTGCGGGCCCTGGTGCGGGCCCCGGTGCAACCGTTATCACCCCCTGATGGCGGCCCTGGGACAGTTTATTGTTGCTATGGCTATTCTTTTTATAGCCCCCACCTGCTGCTCATAGGTGGGACGGGGGAGACTTCAGAGGAACACTATAGGGTTAGGAACACTAACATGTATTCCTGACCCTATAGTGTTAAAATCAACACCTGGCCCCCCTTTGCCTCCATAAATATAGTAACATCTTAATTGTATTCAAGTCTGAAGCTGCTGGCTTTGCCCCTAATCTGCCTATCTGAGATAACAACAATGCTTCCCCATATGATTTGCTGAGACTGCCAAGATGGCAGATCAGGTGTAGAGCCATTGGCGTAGCCATGGGCTGCAGTTTTTTGGGGGCGGCAATTTCTATGCTCCTTCCCATATTGGCATGGAAGTGACCATCTCACCTTCTGGGTGGGACCTGCCAGTGATCCTCCTCTGCTTGCTAGGTCTCTTATGTGCGGTGCTCTGTTTGAGGAGGAAGAGGCTTGGCCAAAGGATGGGAAATGAGGTCAATCATTGCACCCTGACAGTTCCCCTCCCTGTCTTGCACCCTGAAAGTCCCCCTCCCTCCACAGATCCCCTCTCTCCCCTGCACCCTGACTATCCCCCCTCCCTCCCCTCCCCCTCCTTGTTTTTTTAAATGTGACAAGTAGATATGCCCCCAGTGAATTATATGCATGCATTTTTCAGGCATGTATTCATTGGGTGCATATCTTAAAAAAAGCTTGAAAAGATTGTAAACTGAGTTGGTCTAGAGGCGTTGAGTACTTAAAAGAGGTATGTCCGGTGCAGCCACAGACGTCCACGACTGCGCATTCTATTTAAAGGGCCCATGCACATTTACAAATACCACTAGTTGATCCCAGACACATCAGGGAGATGCATGCATACACACAGTGAATAATTCACTAATTCAAGGCTCTGGACAGACACAGAAGGTAGACAGAGGAGCAAGTTCATGGTCAATACAGCAACTAGCCAACGCCTGTATAGACTCACTAATGCGACTGTTTAATGGTCACCATATTACAGAGTAAACTTTGAGGAAGGTTTTCCGTGCTAAGGCCAGGGCTTCCATGGATTTGCATAATGGCAGAGATGTAAACTCCAGTTCTAAAATGGTTTGACTACCTACATTGAGGGAGGTGCCAGGGTACCTGTAGTGGTTATAGTGCTTTGAGTTTCTTTAATAAAACATGCAGAGCTACATAACACTCAACCCTCTGTGAATAAGACAGAACCATAACTGAGGATTTCCTGTGGGGCAAGCAGGACAGAGAAGGCTTTCTGTGAATGGTTATACCTCTAGATTTGGAAGAAACAATATCCCCAAGATTCCAGATTCTCAGATCATGGAGATAAGATGAAGAAATGCATTTTGTAACACTGAGTTTCCCTTAAGATATTTTGTAAGGCTATGTGGATTAAATTAATCTACATTTCACCCCGGTGCATGGTTCTTCTTTTAAACAACACCAGCTGAGTATGAGCAGGAAGTGTATGTAATATGTAGCTCAGTGTAGATGTGATATCCACATTTGAAATCCCATATCTAAGTCACGAGCTACAGGCATGAATTTAGAAGTCAGGCCACATGGACCTCTCAGCTGTTCTGTCCATGTCATAGTGCTTTGCTCTCCCAATCAATGTCACCCAAGGGGAATTCCCTCACTCTGCAATCCTGAGCTCAGCTTTACCACGTGTAAATGGAGATACATGTTTATTTCTCTTTTCTAGAAACGTAGCCTGAGCCGAGATTGAGATACTTTTATATCTCCATTATCTGGACAGGGGTTGAGCTTTAGGGTTCAACAGGTTTAACATTAAATCAGTGAAGGTGAACTCATCACCTTCAAATTACTTAAATGTTTTGTATTTTGTTTCAGTTCAGTACTATTGAACTAAAGAACTATTTCTTGTGTTAATTATTCTCACAATATTGAACCATGTAAAAGTTATTCTATAAGGTGTGATCATTACTTAATTTAAGAAGAAGGTAATAAAACCAATGTATGACTGTGAACCTTGTTTATTGTGACAACAATTATTGCATGCTGAAGGCTGGCATCTTTGGACGTGGTTGTAAGTACAAACAAATATCATTTATGAGCCAGTACAGACCCAGGAAGCACCTCCAGTCCACGCACCAACCCATACAAGTGCCCGGCGCAATAAATGCACCTCTTGCTATTTTAGTGAAGCTGCGGCCAAAACCACAGTACGCTAGTGGCTTAAAGGGCAATTACTTCCTATTTCCCGGCACCCCATGCCAGCCATTAAATGCATGCAATCCTTTTTGTTATATTAGAACTCTCACACTGTCGAGCTAATAACAAGATATTCACATGGTTTACATAATTGTATGTTTTCCTGGCACTATAGTGGTCCTTTAATATATAACAGAATCTTGGGTAAGTCAAATCGGTGTTATACACTGCCTGGCCAAAAAAAAAGTTGCCACCTGGATTTAACTAAGCAAATAGGTAAGCGCCTTCTATAGGATAGTTACTGCATGGGCGATTATCTTTCAGCTGGCAACAAGTTATTTAACCCCAACTGATGCAATGAGTAACTTCTCATTTCTTAAACAACCATGTCAAAAGACATATCCCATGGTCGTGGAAAATATGTTAGTCTGTTTGAGAAGGGTCAAATTATTGGCATCCATCAAGCAGAGAAAACATCTAAGGAGATTGCAGAAACTACTAAAATTGGGTTAAGAACTGTCCAACGCATTATTAAAAACTGGAAGGATAGTGGGGAACCACCAGTGATGGGTACATCAGGGTAAGAAGAGAGGCAGATGAAGTGAAGCACCCATCATGCCTAGTGCCTACTGTATAAGCCAGTGGGGGCAGTGCTATGATCTAGGGTGGCTGCAGTTGGTCAGGTCTAGGTTCAGCAACAATTATGTGCCCAAAGAATGAGGTCAGCTGACTACCTGAATGACCAGGTTATTCCATCAATGGGTTTTTTCTTCCCTGATGGCACGGGCATATTCCAAGATGACAATGCCAGGATTCATCGGGCTCAAATTGTGAAAGAGTGGTTCAGGGAGCATAAGACATAATTTTCACACAGGGATTGGCCACCACAGAGTCCAGACCTTAACCCCATTGAGAATCTTTGGGATGTGCTGGAGAAGGCACAGTGCAGTGGTCCAACTCTCCCATCATCAATACATCAATACAAAATTAATGTAACACTGCACGGAAATAAATCTTGTGACATTGCAGAAGCTTATTGAAACAATGCCATAGCAAATGCGCGCCGTAATCAAAGCCAAAGACGGTCCAACGAAATATTAGAGTGTGTGACCTTTTATTTTTTGGTGGCGACTTTTGTTATGGCCAGGAAGTGTATGTGTGCTATGTGAGTGGAGCTTGATGGCACATGATCTTTTCTCTGTGTATATTTATCATTCCCTGTCTGTAGGCTGACTCACAGCAAGTTGATTAATATGCCTCCTATTTTTTGGGTTTTCTCTCACGCACAGGTGTCCTTAAACCAACGCGGCCAACCCCTCAAAGCTCCTTAAATATATTCTATTTGGCGGCATCTTTTGTCTTGAGGTTAATCTCTCACAGCCAAATATAGGAAACTTACTCAACTGGTTTAATAGATCTGACATAAAAATGTGACAAATAACTGTATGATATTGCAAAAACCGCGTAAGTAAAATTATTACAGTCACCTATGCCACACAACTGCTTCTCTGCCTGCATGTGAAACAGGTTAGCCCCCGTTATTATCAGACAGTCAGTATTTTAAGATCTATCAGAAATGAAAGAAAGAAATTTTTTTTTTTAATGTTTAAATCTTTTTTCCAAAAACGGTTTACAGGAATGTAATAAACCTAGCCATGCAGGAAAATGCATATAATTAACAATCGTAATACAGAAAATTACATTTTATATATTCATTTCATTGCTGCCAATGATTATAATTTGGTTTGAAAAAGGCCAGCGAGTACGTGATGGAGACAGATCGAACGGTTTTCTCAAAAATGGCCAAGGACTGCTATTTTCTCAATACTTCTCCACGGAGCTAGCAACAAAACGGTACTGTTCTGTGTTGCTGGAGGACTAATTTTAAATCACTGCTTTTAAATCCACACCTACAAACACCAATAGCAAACCCTGGTTTAAAGAGCAAACGTAACACTTGGGTTAATAAATGGAGAGCGCACACAGAATAATTTGATATGATGAATTTCTTAGTTCTAAAGTAAGGGGAGTAGCTCGGCTAAAACTAGATTGTGACCCAAGGACCTTTTTACAAAGAATTCTGCGTGACCTTGGTTTATAGTTATATTATTCCACCCCTGGGTGAATCCACTCCCAAAAATAAACACAAGATGACTGATGTAGCAGTTCATCATATGTGACTCACAGAGCCAACACATAACTGAACCAAGTCTAAAATTGTGAAAACAGGCCATAAACACCACCAAGTCTGCTGGTACATATCCCTAAGAGGTTACAGTCAGGTGGGTAAAAGTTAGAGCAAAAGATAGCACTGTCTAGCAGGAGTCGTGTAGAGTTGGTGAAAAGGAATTGAACAATTTTGGTGGCAACAGTTTTCTCCGAGATCATCAGCTTGTAGCCAATACATTTTATTTATTTGAATTCTTTATTTTTGTGATGACACTATTCAATGATACACTGAGGTTGGAAGTGTAGGTTGGAAGGTCTGCACAACCATCAGGTGCAGATCCCTCTGGCTGTGGGCAGTGGTTGTATAGTGTCAGCAATAGTCTGTAAAGACTTTGTTAATGGTGTTTGGAGTGTCTGCTAGGACCCCCGCTGCTGTGCGGATTTTAGTGATGGGTCGAAATCCACTCCAAGGACGCAGCACTCTGGCTAACATTGTATCCATTTTGTTGGATTTTTCATAATACAAGCACCGAAACCACGGAATGGAGCGAGCCACCCCCCACTTCCGTCAGTTTGCTTGCTGTGGGGTTTGCTTTGTGTTGCTGCTCTGCTTTTCTCAGAGCTGCTTGCAGCTCCAGTAGGAGGTGGGTTGTGCGTCACTTTTTGTGTGTAGCTACCTTGATGAAGTGGTCCCTCAGGACTGACTTATGGGCGGCCCAAATGGCTACTGGGTCTACGCCTGTAGAGATGATGTGAGTAAAGTATTCTGATATGATTGTGCTGGTGGCCTTAAATAAGTAATTGAGAAGGCTAGTGTTTGGTTTCGATGTCCAATTAGAGGAGTACTTGTGTCTGTCAAGTATGATCTCGATGTCTGCATGGTCAGACTAGATTATGCTATTTATGGCAGAGTGCGCAGGTTTTGCCATACCCGTCCCATTGAGAAGGATGTTGTCGATCCTGGGGTATGTACCATGCGGTGTGGTGTAGAATACAAAATCCCGGGTGCTAGGGTGCTGGAGTCTAGAAGGTTGGTGTTGGCAAGAAACTCATGAAATAGTTTGTCCTGTGACCCCCTCCCATAGGACCGAACCATTCCAGGTTTTGTGCTCCTATCAACTGCTGGACACGGCACTGCATTGAAATCCCCTCCTATTACAAGTATGCCTCCCCCCTCTGCCCAGCCATTGTCGTGAGTGAGTTCCAGTATTGGGGATCAGGTTTGTTGGGAGCATATACTTTAGTGATGTGGATTTTAGTGTTATGTAGGGTAACCGATATGGAAATATACCGACCCTCAGGGTCTGCCACAGAACCCGAAACTTGAAAGGGGCAGGTGAGTGAGGATTGTTACGCCTGCATGCTTACATAGTACCCTGGCCTCAAAGGCCTTGGTGTACTGGCTATTGGTCAACCTGACCATTGCCGACCTGGGGAGGTGTGTTTCCTGGATTAGAGTAAGATCAGCCCTTTTTGCTTTCAACTCCCGCAAGAGCAGTGCAGTTCGGAGGTGTAGAGTCGGGTGGGGGGTGTGGAATTGAGTTGTTGCATTTGTATAGGGCAAGTGTACAAGAAACCGGAACGTTCCCCGTGCCGTGGGGAGATACCAAAAAAGAAAAACGAAAACATAACATAACAGAAAATACATGACCTCAGAACAGAGGTGTATAAACAATGAAAACGAACAGTCTGGTCTTACGGATTGCCAGAGCAGTCTGGGGGTGCAAGCCTCCCCCGATCCGAATCTTATTGTTCTCACTACAGGGTGGTGACTCCCATCCCCAATCCGCTGTGCTACAGTGCGCACGACCCGCAACATAGTTATATAACACGTCACCATTTCAGTATGAGTTTAGTAGAAAAGGAGTGATCTCGTGGGGACTATCCCGTAGGATGGTGGAGATAGGTACCGCCTGTGACCTTGGAAGGTGGCGCAAATGTTGGTGTGAGGTGTATCCATGAACGCCGCAGGGCGAGGCATGGGTATCCCTGCAAACGGACAGTGGTGACCTGCCCCTCACCTCTCGCCGACCCCTCACTCCTCAGGGTCCCAGATGTCAGCCTGATACAGGGTTTGTATTCCTTTTTCTCCCCCCCCCCCTTTTGTTGGGGATGTGGCCTCTCTCCCCAGCTACTTACCTTCCCATTTTGTTGTAGGTGCCTGGGCAATGTAGTAATGTTGGTGTATCCATAGGGATGTGTAAGGGTGTGTACCCTGAGTGGGCTAAATTTGGGATGGGCTTAAAGGAACCCGCCCAAGCAGCAGGTGCATAGCCGTTTCTGCTAGAGTGACTGAGACTACAGTTGTGGGTTGAACAAATTATATATGATCAAAAATATATAATATACAGTGCAACTCAATATAAAATTGTGTGAGTTGTCAGTCAGGCTGTTGGTGTAGTAATAGGTGGCATAATAAGGTGTCTTCCACATCTCTCCCCAGAGCTCCCAGCTCAATAGTCCCTATTCCCTCTCAGTACTTAGCTGGACCAGTGTGGAAGTGAGAGTTCAGTCAGTGAGGTGTGGAGTCCATCGTGTTAAGGCTCGTGGAGTACTGGTATGGTGTCTTCAGGTGTGGTTTTCAGCACTGCCTGGAACTTCATGACACTCGCTGGGGAGAGAGGTGAGTAGAGGGCAAACAGGTTGAGGCATTCTAAATTCGGACAGAACACCTATGGGTAGTTCCTAGAGGAATGGTGCGGGGTCCCTGCCCCGCTGCAGGACATTCCTAGAGGAATGGTGCGGGGTCCCTGCCCCACTGCAGGACGTTCTGTCTGCTATTTGTCACTATGGCTTCCTTAGTGGAAGCAGAGAATAACGTCGCTGGGTACTGCTCCTTCCATTCTTTTGGCACGCAGAGATCTGTGGGCTCGGTCAATCTGCCATTTCTACTACGGTATGTCGGGTAGTAGTTCTTTGAAGAAATCTTCAAGCTTCACTGCTATAGGCCCTTCATTGGGAGATTCCGGGAGGCCTCTTATGTGCAGATTATTGAGCATGGAACGGTTTGAAAGGTCACAGCCTTGCATGAAAATATCCAGTTGCTGGGCCATGTAGTTAACATGTGTCACTGCTGTGTTCTGTGCTCTCACCACCATTTCCATGCAGTGTTCCAGGTCAGAGGTGCGTGCATCTAAAGCTTGGATTTCAACTTTTACTTCCCTGGAGCTGTGGGCAATTTCCCCAGACAGATAATTTTTCACCTCCAAGAGTTTCTGTAGGATCTGGGAGGTTTCGCCAGGGCTGTCCTGTGCTTCACTTTCTGCCGCGGATGCAGGGGACTGTGAGCCATGTGGGCTGGTGTGGCGGCCATCTTGCGAGGTCTAAAGTGCGCGGGAGGCCACAAACAGATCCATCACGGCATTGCAGGATCCCCCCTCTCTCTCCCTTCTTCTTGCACAGCAGTTTAGCTCTGGAGCCAGTACCAGACATGGTGAGGTGACTCGGCAGCGGTTTAGGGTCGCGTTGCTGCTGGTATGTGTTATTTATAGTGCGGGTGGACGGGAGCACTCGGCTCACACGGCCATTAGGGTTGACGGCCAAAACACGCCCCCAGTAATTTTTCTTATTCGCAGCCAATACATTTTCCATTGAGCATGAACCTAATTCTTTGGATGCCAATCAAGCTCAGTTTCAAAACTAGGTTTACTTAGATCTAGGTTAGAACATATTATCTGTAATTATTTGATTGCATTTGTAATAGGTATTTAAACATCTAGGGTAAGTGGCAACTGAGAATTGTCATCTTGAGTGGTTGCCATCGTAAAACTGGGATCTTGGGTAGGGGCAACAAAAAAAAATCATTAGCATGGGTTGTTAAAACACTTAATTACATAAAGGAGATTCTTTGAGTAATCACAATAGGCTTGTGTTGAACATATTCTTTGTTTGTTAACCAAGAATCATTCCAATGGGTAGACCTTACCAGATAACGATTATATCCTTTGGTGGGTGATTTCCTTGCCTAGGTATTGCTGGATAACTATATTGGGAGTGTGTTTCCCTGTGAGATGCACACCAGTGGGTGATATTCAACGATATTCAGTTTAATCCTCAACTACGAGAGTATAAATGTTATTTGAGAATTCTCACTTTTGGGATCTCAGAGTGCAAAGATATTAGTCTACACATCTGAACGTTTTCCAACCATGCAGTTAAAGGAATACCACCACAGTTTGTGTGTTATAACAGACTTTAACCCCTTAAGGACACATGACGGAAATATTACGTCATGATTCCCTTTTATTCCAGAAGTTGTGTCCTTAAGGGGTTAAAAAGTATAAAAAAATAATTCAAACTTTGTGTGGTGGTCGCCCCTTCCCCCAAAAAATGAAAAAGCTTTTCATTGATAAATAAATCAATAAAGAAATTATTCAGGCTCCAATACATCTTCCAGTGAATAATTGGTCTCACCTCGTCGAATTGGTGTGATGTTCCTTAGGGGTTATAGGGGAGTACCAAGCAATATATTGGAAGTTGTTCACCAGACTGGCATCAGACGATGAAGGAGGAATTGGAGGAAAACAAGTGCAGAAGAAACACTAAGTATCCCAGTCTTTGTTTAAAGACATCTTGGTTCAGTCTAAGTAGAAAATGGCAGTGACCTACAGCATATCATGGATGAAGTTGGGATGGGGGATGATGTAGGGATTATAATGGTAGTTTTTCTTTCCCTTTTCTTTCTTATCAGTGGTGTGAAACTGATTTTCATGTGGATTTTAGTCATACTGCCCTACTACTCTTGATTACTATTATTAATAATGACTGGAAAATACCTAAAAGCTTAGTTCAATGAAAAGATAAACTAAAATGACAAATCAGTGACTAATTATCAAAAGCAAATTTTATTGCCCACCATAAAGCGGATACATTCTTGTCTTCAACCCGTTAGCAAGGAATACATAATTTACACAAGCCACACAGCAAATTCAACGAACGAGTAAAAACCAAATAACGATCTGAAGATGGTGGAAAGTTCGGCAGAGACCAGTTGATATCTCAATTCCTCCCTAACTGCATATTAAATGTCAGAAACTTAAAAATGCATGGGGCGAATTAGGAGACGCCACAAGTTTGAGCTACTTAAACTATTTATTGGATATCATGTGTACTTGCGTACCTGGTACTACATATCTCATTAGAACAGCTGTCCTGGACTTATTAACTATATAAAAAAAACTCCTACTTTCCCGGAATGATAAGATTTACTACTTACAACAAACTGGTTCCATATCAAATATCTAATAATCGATATTACTGTAAACTTATGAGGAATATATTTTTTTGGTATACAAAACTATTCTGTAGATTAGGATGACCCGAACAATGAAAGGAAACGTTAACACTTTTATACTTTGCTACAAATTAGACCACTAAAGGGTGAAATATTCCAAAATTTACCTAATTTGGCAATATAGTAGGTAGACCTGAATATTTGAGAACTTTTGACTAATTAAAATAGGCCAGTTATAATCCCGCTATGAACTGGAAATCAAGAACCGGCTGTAAAGAGAAAAAAGCAATATACATTTCATATCATTCTATGAAATTCTTACAGTAATTTCTAGATATCTATTAATGAAATGTATGTGTTTTTTTTCTTCAAAGTCTGCATTTTATTTAAGAACTTCCTCCCACACAGTGTCCTTAGAGGGTCAACACTAAATCAGCGGCTTTGTTAATCTTTACAAAAAAATAGAAGACGTGGGTTTCTGGATATGTAAAGATCATATGGGGCAGCTACATAAGATAAAATGCAATTGAGTGGGTTGAAAGTCAAATTTAAAATAAATTAAAAGGGAAACAGTCATGTCTCTGGAATTAAAACCATTGAAAATCATATTGTGTTAACTTTTTTCATAAAGGGCGCAGCTTTTATTTTAAATTCTTATTCAAAATTTAGCAAATTACATCATAATCCAGTTCAGACAAGGAAAAACCAGAGCCTACATTGCCAATAAAAGGAGAAATGAAAACAAACGGTTTAACCTCTCCTTCTCTCTGTGTGCTTTCTCCAAGCTGACTGGCAAGTACAGACGTTAAGATGGAGGCACCCAGTTGCAGGACAACGAGGTGTGTGTTTCAAATTTTATTTTATTTTCTCACACCTCGCAAATACATATTTGCAAAATATAGGGATAAGTAAACCTAGTATTAAAAATCCTGGGATGTAATAGCTCCCCTTTAATATGTTTAACCCATGCATCCATTAAGATGTGACAGAATTGGAAACTTAGATGCGCAATTGCCTGAATCTTAGGTCTCTATGCAGAAAATGAATAAATTTATATGAGAGATATTTTATACGAGAGACACAGAGAGCGCATGTCATGACAGACAGCCTGTGTCCTGACTGTCTGGCCATCTTCATTCGGGGCAAACTAGCGTTTGTAAAATGTTCTGAGCCTTGGCTGATACCCATGAGGTTACTCCGCACAGCATATCTTGTGATGCTTTCATGTTAAGTAGTTTGTGGTCATTTGCTTGGTGTTCCATATGCGCATACTTTCCAACGATCTGGAGGAGAGAATCGGAAAGAGGTGGAGGGAACAGTGAGGAGACATCACAAATAAGAAAACCCACGTCATTAGCTATATCCATAACGTGTAGGTCTGCCCACTGAGACTCCATGGCCAACCTCCAGGCTTGAGGACTATGCAGTGAGAGCTGCTGAAGTGCTCCCTGCATAGTCCTAGTGCCCGCTGTAGAATGCAACTGACGCACTTGCGATGTGCTGCCCAGGGACACTTCTCTAGTGTCCCCAGATGATGGACATCAGGGAAAAAAACAGGATGGTGGAACAGGTCCTCAAAATCAGGACTTTAAAGAGGCCTGTATCTGGAACAAGCCTTGATAAATGCCAATTTTTAGTTCTTTACATCTCATAACATATCTTTGTGTGAGCAGCCATTAAAGCATGTAAACATTTATACAGCACAAGCAGCAGAAACATCGCAAACAAGCGACGGTGATAACATTGGGATATCTTCAGATGGAGACTGCATCCGAAAGGTCTAGATTGGTTTTGGAAGCTTACTTTTTAAGTCTACTTTGCTAAACAACAGAAAGTATAGCCTTTACCCTAGAAGTTTGTGGAGGCATATTAACCTTTAAGTAATCTACACGTTTTAATAGAAATATTCTTCCCATTTTCAAATATTCAATGAGTAGACGCATTTAGTTATCAAAACAACGTGAAAAAAATACCACATACAATATATAGATAACATAATGGTGAACTGTATTTAGGATTAAATCTCCTTTAATTTCAGAGCAGCCCCAGGACATACAAGTCTTGGTCTACCAGAGATCAGTGGCAGTTCTATTCCCGGGCTGGGAAGTTACATTTCCAGACCCAGTTCCTATTTACAAGCTGACAACTCTAATTCAGCATGGGGCGAGGGTTACATTAAAATGTTTGTAGTTGTATATAGCAGCGACTGTATGCGAGTGTCAACTCCCACTAATCAAAGGCAGACTGAAACATGCATGTTGTAACTATGCCTGAGATTAGGTGAGGTGACACACAATATGTGCATTACAGGAAATAATGCACAGATTTTTTCCCCACAAAGGAAATAATATTGGAAATATTATTGGAGAACACCTGTCCAGTATAGAATGCAAACCATGCTTAGCCCAGTGGACCATGTGATGTGTGTATAATTTATAACCCTATTCAAATACCTATAAAGATGCTTAATGTTGGATTATTCTCATCATTACCATTATGTAGCAGGCCAATTAGACCATGTATGACTTATGCTATACAAAAACACACACACCGTCCCTAAAACATATGTTGTGTGGTTTTGTTTTAAACAAACGTTTATCCATACCCAACGTGCTGACTTTCTTATGCATTAATATTCTTTAATGGCAATTTAGCAAATCCAGACACATTCACTGTGGAAAGTTACCAACCATAGTCCACATCTCTATTTGACGATACGTGTAAATGTTCACCTTAGTTACTTGCGACCTTGCAAAAAGCAAATGGCATGAATGTCTTAACGTAGTTTTATTACATATAATAATCACCGATTTAATTAGACAACTGGAGTCAGCGTGGTAAACAGTGCAAAGTATCAGACTTACAGATATGGAGAACAGATATGCAGAGGACAAATTAACTGAAATGGACTAGCATGGCTCTTTTAACTGTTTCTCTACCAAGAAAGATCCATCAACTAAAACCGCACATTGTATCTACAATGCATTGTGTCTTTGTTTTTGTCTCTAACCTTTTTTGACCTCAATAATAAAAAGAGGGAGCGTTATTCAGAGCACGCCGCCGCAGAGATAGCATTTGATTTTCTGAGCTTCGGTAAAGCTGAACACTGAACGGACTACATGCAGAATAACATGAATATAGAAACTCTGTTAACATTATAAGCGAGCAGAGGATTGCAGTGCTATCGCTTTAAAAAAAAAAAAAAAAAAAAATAACAGTATGGTTCTGCGAGTAACCAGAATGAATTGCTGTCATGTATGATAAACTCATACTCCACCCCTGAAAACATAGGACAGCTTTTAAAAGAATCAAATGCGTGGGGAAGGGACATTTCTGGGCATTTCCGTATGGTTCTATTCTTCTTTCTTGTTGGTTGGTCCCTCTTGAAGTGCCTGTTGAGAAAGAAAGAAGAAATGAAAAAGGGGGAAAAAATGATAGAAAACATTTTTTGTAGGTCTTATTTTTTTTTTATTTTTTTTTTTAGTTGCATAAATTATACCAAAATAGCAGAGATGGGGTTGATGGAGGAAGGAGACAAACAAACTTACTTTAATGTGTTCCGAAACAATCCAGAGAAACACATTTTACAATGTCTACCAACCCCAAAAATCTATTAAAACCCAATGTTTTTACAACGATTAGTACAAATCTGTCAGTGGCTGTCATTATTGACAAAAGGGACAATTGGGATGTACAAGTACTGAACAAAATTAAACAAATAGCCTTTCAGTTGCTGTGTATGTCAATACTTGTACAAAGAATCCAACTGACAGACTTTGTAGAGAAAGCAGAATGACAGGGAGAAGGACATGGGACTAATAGAATGTGGAATTCAAGCAACATTCTACTGGGTAAATTTAGAATGTGTAAAATTACACTGCAGAGACCTATATAATTTGAAGCTTATAAAGTACCTTGTAAAGTGGGCAATAAGATATGCACTGGGTTGTGTAGGTAACCAAGTAACTTCCACTAAGTTCCGGGTGAAGTCAGAAGAACTGTGTTCCAGATTTCTGTTACCTGCTAACTACGGCAGAATGTACTACAGGTAAAAGATTTTGGAGTTCAGAGTAATATTTCATCACTATGTGAATAGCAGACTAAGTGTGACTAGGGATCAGGGAAGAAATGGCTGTGCAGCCAAGGGTCCAGATCTCTTGGTACAACCGCACTATGACTAGTGACTGGGCCGCTACTTCCCCAAACCATGAAGTAAACTGTGATGAGTAAGAGAGAAATTGGATAGTTAAGTAGAGACATGCCTGGAATACCCAGTCTCCTTTCCTGTTACTTTAAAGTGTGTACTTGAACCGGGTGTGAAAACCTAACTATTAAATATGGAAAGAAAAGTGGACAAGGATGGATTCAAATGGTACAGAACCTTATGTTCCTATAAACCTGTACATTTAATGGGTCACAGTATCCCTTGGAACTTACTCTTGTAATATATTAAATATTCCTTATGGAAATTTGATAAAAGATAGCCGAAACAAAGTGATATGACTCGCATCTCAAGGACCCTACGTACTTTGATAGAGTAAATCAGCAAGAATGGGGGAAACAATTCGAATTTTGCTTAACCAACGCCCAGCAGCATCACCTTCCCCTTTTACAATGTAACAGATAAAAGAACACTACCACAAGGTGCACCACCACCGAAGATAGGCAGAAGTCCAACAGAGTTTTAGTCCACCAATAGACTTATACAAAATTTGCTTTGGCTGGTTCATCAGTAAAAAAGTACTTTTAATCTATGTGTAACAGAGCTCCCTGCACCCCTGGTTGGCTACCTCCGCCAAGGACCTCTTCCTAGCTGGAACAGGGGACAAACTTCTGCCCACAGTCACCGTGGCTTGACTGGGGTCCTGGAAGCGCTCCCTCCTGGAGCCAAATCGGGAATTCGTTTTAGACACCCCATGCACTGGACGACGCTCAGTCCTGGGAGCTCTAGTCCTTACAAGGACTTTCCCTCTTGAATCCTCCATGATGGAATAGTGATTAGCCCTTTCCCCTCCCAGTAACCAGACAACATAGTTCTGGGAGTACAAGCTGGAATACGTTTAATGGCAGCCACAACTGGCCTTATATGCAGGTCCACATGCAAGGGGCACTCCCCCCTGGACCTGAGAGTAGATTACATTAAAAACATACACACGACTACATTGGCTCCCAGGTCCAGGACACTCATAAAAAAACAAGATAATCCCTCCCATGTGCCTAGGAGATAATGGAGTCAAGCACTGTATTAAACTCAATTATCTCCAAGCACAAAAAAAAACACATTTCCCAAATCCACCTTTAAAATACATAAAACCCCACAAAAGTTACATCTGGGTCTGGGTGACCAACATATCCAGAAAATCACCCAGATTGGTTCAGGAATATCCTGGAAGTCATAATTTGACTGACCGCACGCATGATCCCCTAGCCGAAAATAGTTCCATAGCATCACGGCTAAGTGCCGCTGGGGACAGACCGGGAACCGTGAAGTTGTCATGCTGAAAATAGTTCCATGGAATAGCTGCTAAGTCTCCCTGAAGTGTATTTGCAGTTTTGGTCCATGCGAATGGCCGCCAGGGAGCGATCGTTTAGTTATATGCGCATAAATGGAAAGTGCCAGACCAGGGGGAATAAAATATGGGTCTTTATGGTCGCTGACCTGGCCCATAATCGGTGGGCAAGCTAGCTCCTCCAGGAATTTGTGGCAAACTCACGAGGACTGGGGAGTTTGTCACACTACGCCTGAATGAATAGATTTGCCAGTGATTTACCTGTGAAGTATTATTCATTAAATAAGAATCCACAGTTAAACCTCAAGTAAATCGATTCATCCAGCTGTGGATTCATAAAAGGATTTTAATTGAGATAAACACCAGCCAGAATTAATTTTTGAACAAGTCTATCTGGCAATAGCTAGTCCCCACTGGCACATATCACAGTACACAACTCAGTAAAGTAGGTTTTGCTGATAATATACAATATTTAGTCAATTTAAATGCACAACTAGGAGGTCCTCGCCAGCTACATAGGCTCTAGACAACCAAGGTCCGAGTTGGTTGAAGGAGATAGAAATTTCATGTTTACAATTACCCAAGAACATATGTACGGTACTTGTGTCTCACGTTACTGGTGATAACAGAAGTTACATAGTTCGTACAGTTAAAACTGTAGACTATAGGTATTAAATGTGAAACTTGGTACAAACTATTTTTTCTTTTATAGCTGCAATTTATTTTACAGTATACCTAAAATGGTCAAAGAAAATGGCATGATTTTTTTACCCTGTCTGTAATCTGATGTATGACATATACCGGATCCTAAAATGTATGCTCAATCTTTCCAAGAAGTATTCTACACAAGGTTTGTTAAATTAGGAAGTTAACTTTGGGGGGGCGGGGCCTGACCGCCAAGCAGCAAAGACGCATCTTGCATGAGCTCCTCATTATCATTGCCGAAAAAGAGACTTTTAGCCAAAATTAACCCGAGACAAAACCCAGCTAAAGCCTCACCTACCTTAGCACGGAGCAACGAGAAACTACCGAGGACAGAAGCTGCACCGAAGTCAACGAGCGGCACACGTGGAGCCATGCGGCCCGCTGACCACCAGGCGGGAGAGACGGCCGACCTCCCAGCCCTAAGCGGCACATTATGTAGAGCAGGTACCCTGCAACCCCCCCCCTCTGGACCGGTGGGAGTAATCCCGGTCTAACCCTGGGGGAATACTCTGACCCACACCACACGAGGAACAGAGGGGCTATAACTAAGAGCACCTCTGCCGACCCAGCCAACATGGCAGACGCCACGAGGAACCCAGACACTACAGCAATATGGGCGGACATAGAGGTCAGACTGGACAGTGCCTTCACAACATTCTGGAGTAAACTGGAAGAGAGGCTGCAGTTCCAGGCTCAACAGCATCCAAACAAGCACTCACATTCACCGGCACCACCAAACAAGCGACTAAACAGACGACGGACACCTGCAATCCTGGCACGGATGAAGAGCCCAAAATGGCCGCGAGGTGGAAAATACCCAGCACACCGGCTGAGAGCAGCTCGCAAAGCACAGCCACTCAAACCCAAGCCATGAACCAGTGGAACACCCGCAGTAACTGATGGAACACAAGCACAATGGGTACTCACCCCTCCAGGTACCACCGCTATACAGCCCACAGCCTTGCCAGCCTCCCACCACTCTTCTGGGCCGAGGGCCCGCCTGGACCGTTCCAAGCAGAGACGCAACCATGAATCAGGCTGGAGGACCCACAGTCAGACGGCAACACAAAACGACAAGCTGGAAGCTCTCCAACGGCTGACATACCAGCCAGGCACTTCATCGCTGGGACTCACGAAATTGGGCAGGCTGACCGGCTGCGCCGCGTGGGACTCTAACATGCCCCTGAAAGGCATTGGCTGACGGACACCTGGACTAACCACATGTGAGGCACCAGTTATACTCACAGGCAAACGCCAACCAGACTCCCACGCCTATCACAAGGGGCCCCATGAGGAAGACCCTTTATACAGACAAGCACCCTCTACTATATACATTTACTGTATTTTCATGAATTGCCCTGCTGTGCTTTCAACCTTACTATAATAGACCACACCAAGCCTGCATGTTCACTACAGGAAAGGCTCGCAACACACACATCAAGCTACTGATGCACACATATAACACACTGATTACAACCTACGCGTAGCTGCAGCTTTGGTGGCTTACACACTTTGATATAACTAACAGACCTCACATGACCATGCTATAGTTCTCTAGAGTCGTGAACTGAAAAGTGTAGCAACAGCTTAAGTATATGTCGCCGCGCATACTCACACTTGCTGTCACATTTGGTGGAGCCGACAACTAAGTCAGTCACCATAGCATGTTTACTACACCTCATTGTTTCGCTCACCCACTGATACTTCTTATGATGATATCTACTACTGCTATCATTTATTAGAAGCGTTGACCTAGCGTTTTCGTTAAAAGATTAGTGAGTTATATTTAGGTTTTCAGTGAATCTATACAGTATTACATAACCAGATACAGCCCTGATTTAAAATGTGTCCATACTACAACTACTATAGCATAGGTGAACTAGCAATGTTAAGCATCCAATATCTGTATTTGCGTTTATGTTTTATTTTATTTCACCTAACCCTACTCCGACAAAATAACTGTCTCGTTAAGCACGTTAAATATAAAAATTGTGCAAATTATCATGCCACTGTCTAACTTGTATGCAACTTGAAATACGCTGTTTTGGCATCTGTCAATCTATTGTGACCACCTGCACACCAAAATAAAGAATTTAAAAAAAAAGTTAACTTTGACTGGGTATTTCTAAAACATTCATATTCTTAGTTTTAAATGGACACTCCTGAAGTGCTTGGTGTGTGAGGATTGTGCACTCTTTTTTTTCATTTTACAAGAAGTGCAGATTTCAATAGAAATTGGCATTTTTCTAAATTAATCTTGTAATGCCCTCTTGGCTGTCAGACAACTGATCTGGTTACTTCCTGGTTTGATAAGCTCAGTAGCGCTAAACTAGTTTTCCTGACACTATATAATCCTTAGGTCCCCCCTCCAAAAAAAACCTTCAGCCACTTACCTTTATCCAGCGCCGGGCTCCCTCGGCGCTGTTGACCTCTCTTCCCCCTTCAAAGTCAGCTCCCGAGTGGAGCCGAATGCACATGCGCGGGCAGAGCCACGCACCCATTAAAAACACCCATAGGAAAGCATTTCTCAACGCTTTCCTATGGACGTTCTGCGTGCTCAATGCGATTTTCACATTGAGCGTCGGGGAAGCGCCTCTAGCGGCTGTCTTTACAGCCACTAGAGGCTGGATTAACTCTGTAATGTACACATAGTTTCTCTGAAGCTGCAGGGTTAAGACCTGGGGGAACTGGCACCCAGACCACTTCATTGAGCTGAAGTGGTCTGGGTGACTATAGTGGTCCTTTAAGAAGCAGCAATTGCCCAGAATACCTGGCTTGCAAAGACTTCTCATTGAGCTACATTGGAAAGTCTGATTGGACAGCCACAGAAAGTCAACTGCAGCTTTTGCAACTCATTTTTAGATATACCCCCAATTTTTTTTTTTTTTTTTAATTGCATAATTAAATGCATGCATGTTTTCATTTGGTCTACACCTACTCAACAGTGATTATTTTTGCCTTTGAACAGTTTCCTCCTGGAAGGTGAACGTCTGCCCCATCCTTATATTTCTGAAAAATAACTTTCTCCAGAATTTCCACTCACTGCAATGAAAAGCATTCCTACAACACAATGCTGCTAACACCTACATGGTGTTCACACGGTGGTGAGACTTGTTGGTTGTGCACTGCATGAAGCCAAAAAGAAACATTTTAGTCTGATCGGTGCAGAGAACCTTCTACTAAGTTTGCAGTCTCTTCCTCGTGCTTTTTGGCAAACTCCCAACATTATTTGATATCTGACTCTTTCAGCAGTGGCTTGTCATTATACGTAGCCCAGATTTGTGGAGTGTCCTGGTTATAGTGGTCTTATGCATACAACCCAAATTGTTATCCCGAAAAGAGAAATGCCGGTGGGAGGGGGGGTTAACAGGACTGGGCAGTGATGCAATTGCATACAACCCAATTGCATCACTGGTGCGATCCAACCAGAATAGCCAGATATTCCTAAATTTCCAAATAGACCGGTCCACTGAGGGCAGGGAGCACGTATTCATTACTCTCAGCAGGGTCTTAGTGACCTGCATGCCATGCGAGCATGTCTAATGATGCGCTTGCTCAACACCTTTTGGGGACACCAGGTAACAAAGTCGGAAATGTAGAAGACCCGAAAATTGGGATGGTTGGGAGGCATACTTATGGATGTGTCTTCTATTACGGATGCGGGGTGCATTCAGAGTCACCATGCCCTCCTTAACCAGTCACCGAGTCTTCAAGGACAGCTTTTTCTAGGCAGATTTGTGGCTGGGTTAATAATGTATTTAACGGTCATGGTTATTCACTAAGGCGAGATTTGTTGAGAATTCAAAGTGAATTTCAAATTGAAGGCCAAAGAAGGGATGTGTGGGGCTTTTACCAAATTCTGATTAGAGCTTCTCCAGACCTTAATCCAGGAATTATGGATGCAGTTTGCTCTTGAATGACCTGTGAAGCCTTTCAGAAGCAGGTGTATTTAATTAGAGATCATGTAACACTTTCACTGCACACAGGTGTACCCTAATTTTGTGACTTTCAAAACCAACCAATGCATCGGAGTGCATCATGGTTTCAATAAAAACTTGAGGTGAATAGCTAGGCAGTAAACAAGTGTTTAGTTTTTTTTCTTTAACAACTTGTTCACTGTAAATCCAATGATGAAATATTTTAATTCAAGGATGCAGCAATATAACGTGCAGATATGTCCACAGAGGGGGAATACTTATCCAAGGCTCTGTGTGTGTATGATCAAATATATGTCGAATTTCTCTCTACGTATAAAGAACAATAACGAGGCATGCTGTTTAGAGGTATAGTAATGCAATTTATCCTTTGGGTGTTCTGGTTTTTTCAACTGTGTAATGTTTTTGGTATACAGATTCTATAGAAGGAAATGGTGGCATCAGATTCCCAGTATTTCAAGTATGTATATGGACAGTGAATCTGAACTTTGCAGACACATTTTAAAAAGCATGAAAGTGCAGACTGAAAGCATTACTTAGGGAGAGTGGGAAGCTTGCTCAAGGCACACAGAATACAATACAGAAGCGCTGAGCATTCCATTGCTTGTGCATGGTTCCATGAATCCTGGCTTGTCCTATTATACGCTTGGAAGGGATCCCACGAGCCTTTGTAAGTGCACTGAAGGAGATCAGCTAGCATCGCATTGTATTCCCACTTCTGAGCAGCCGGTTTCATCTTGGGGGATCGGATACCTGGCTTTCAATTTCAATACTATCCTTACCTTTTTGTGTCATTTTACCCCACTCCCTCTAGCATGTAAGCTCATTGAGCAGGGCCCTCAACCTCTCTGTTCCTGTGTGTCCAACTTGTCTGGTTACAACTACATGTCTGTTCGTCCACCCATTGTAAAGTGCTGCGGAATTTGACGGCGCTCTATAAATATCATAATAATAATAATAATAATTGAGGAAATAAGAGGAAATTAAATGTAACCCTTTAGCGTTCTGGCCAGTATTGCATTTTATACCATGAAAGGGAGGAAGGTATGGCGCAGCAGGCTGATGCTGCGAATGCCATCAAGTGATACGACTGTTTCTGGTGCATTGCTACATTAGGAAGTTTTGTTTTTCGCACTGTGCTGTTCCATGTAACCTTCACTTGGCACTTTAAACAAGACATGTGCTTATTTTGAAATCTGTTACATGGTAACATTAACCCCTTTGGAGCAAGAGGGCCTTTTCTGTGTTATATGCCATATTCTGTGTTATATGCCCCCCCAACCCACCCACTCAGATTTCTGCCAAAACCCCAAAAAATAAAAATATGGTAGTCTTTCTTTTTACGAACCTGCATTCCTGCGCCGGACAGAGCTCCCAGCGCCCACTTCCACGCCCCCTCCTGATAGCATCTAAAAATATCTCTGCATGTGCAGTGTTTCAAGTAACCCTTTAAGTATTATGTGTTAACCTCCAAACATGATTTGATGTCTGTCTCTTCTCATCATAGGTAACCCGACTTTGTGGAGCGTACTGGTTAAAATTGTCTTATGGAACGGTTTCTTTATTTTTGACTATGCGGCGCCCTCCCAATTACCACTGGCTTCTCGGATGATTCGCGGATTAATGCTACCATTAATCAGTCGCTGACTTTAAGTGGATGGCATTCTCTAGGTAGATTTGTGGGGGTGCCATATTCCGAGACCTCCACTCAAGTGAGAGGAAGATGTTTCTGGGGTATCATTACGTAGATAGTGATGTTCCGAACGGTTTGCCGCGGACTCATCATTGAGTAAACTTTGACCCTGTACCTCACAGTCAGCAGACACATTCCAGCCAATCAGCAGCAGACCCTGCCTCCCAGACCCTCCCACCTCCTGGACAGCTTCACAATGAATGTAAAATGGATGCTGTCCAGGAGGTGGGAGGGTCTGCTGCTGATTGGCTGGAATGTGTCTGCTGACTTTGAGGTACAGGGTCAAAGTTTACTCAATGATGAGTCCGCGGCGAACCGTTCGGGACATCACTATACACAGAGTCAAAAAACTAGCAAGATTTTTTTTTTTGCCTTAAAAAGTTCCGTTGTCATAAAGTGCCCTCACATGGCACTTTGAACATGTAAACTGGTGTGATCATTTTTTTTTATCTGTTAAGAATTCTTTGTTTTAATAAAAACTGAATAAAATGTATCTTGCTTAGCCTTGTATCTCTTGGGCACAGAGGAAACCTGAACATCAGGGTGTATAAAATAATTAAAAAAAAAAAACATTTAAAAAACAAAAAACAAACCACAGATCGTCTACGTCTTGCAGATTGGCATGCTGGGAACCACTCAAGTAATGTATAGCGAGCAGCATAAAATGCTCTCTAAATGCTCTATAAGTTTCACCAAAGATTTTTAAAAAATTACAACAACCTCCACACCAAAAGCAGTTGGATTTTCAGGCGGTAAGTTAAAAAGGTCCAGCTATTAAAATGTTTAAAGTCGAGACTTTCTAAACACTGATGTTGCTCACGTTTTTGCAGTTAAACCTGTACTAATCCCCGGGTAAGTACAATATGAATTGCCTGATGGAAACACAAACCGTATAAATTCAAAAGGCTACTGTACCCTTCCCAACCACCAATATTGATTTTACAGCTCTGTGCTAATTGTAAGCCGACACACGGGCAAATAGCAACTATTTATTCATCATCAGACTGAATAGCAATGTCAAATACCAACAATAAGAGAAGAATGAATTAATGACGTTTATGTCGTTATATGATCAGAACCTGCTTCCTTTTTAACACTTTCACTGATATGGGGGGGGGGGGGAATGCAATGAGAGACACACTACCAAGGGCTGGGTATTTCGGGTTACAAGTACCGCAGGTTATGACCACCATGTCCAACTATTTATATCAGCTGGTAAGGCAATACATTTGATCTTGGAGGAATTTAACAACTGTGCTTGGCTCTATTTTAAAGGGGAGGTGAAGGCTTGATGATCTGTAGACAAATTAATTATGCTTGTTTTCTAAAATTTATTCATCGTGTTTTCATTCCTTTAATTGTATGGTCTATATATTTTTTTTATTAAGTATTACATAGCTAATGCATTTACAAGCAAATAATGATGTTCCTGTGTTTGCTGCAGAACTGGCAGGCTATGCAGTGGGCACTCGCTGGATGTGGAAGTGGCTGAAATAGCTTAGCCAATCCTGCAACTTCAATAGCACATGCCATGGTATTTGTAGATCAGAGGTCTGCTTTCTGCTGCAGAAATTTGTGCAATCAGAACAACACTAAATTAAAAGATCCATGCCACTAGAGTAATCAGGCAAAAAAAACTGCTTTTTGACAAGCCACCATTCCTGGGTTTAATCCAGCCACACTATACGTAGACATGTGCTATTCGTTTCGGTCCGAATGTGAATACGGACGAATTTCTGGCAATTCGGACATATGGATGCTTCAGAATGTCCAAAGTGCCGAATTTCGAACGAACCAAATGGCCGAACTTCGGAAGGGCCAAAGTGCTTTGGATTTCTGAAAAGTGGCAAAAAAAAGAGAGGGAGGGAAAATCATGTGAATGATGACAGGGTTAGGGTAGGGTAGGGTTAGGTGAGGGAGCCCTACAGAATTTCCAAATTTCAGAAGTGCTGAACCGAAGTCCAGAACTGACATTTTCAAACCGAACCAAATTTTTGGATCATGCACATCCCTACACTATAGGGTTTTTTTATGTTGATTCTCCCCCCCCCCACCCCCCCCCTCTTTAAATTGAGACTGCACTTGTCAAACAGGTTGTAATTTACATGAAAATCGTGACTGATTTATTTGGCTTTTTTTGCATTATGGAACAATTGTGTACCACAGCTATACAAGACAATGTCATATGTAGGTATACTGCCAAGACCAGAATAAAAACTCTGCAATACTACATAAAAGCTTGTGTTTTCACAAACTGTTCTGTGGTTACATCTGTTTCTCTGTTTACATAGGAATGTAAAAACCCAAATTAACGAGATAGTGGTGAACAATAATTCATTGGATGGAATGAAGGCATGTAGACTGCTTTTAAATCTTAACACATTTTCAAACTTAAAGGAACACTATAAGGTCAGGAAAACAAACATGTTCCTAACCCTATAGTGTTAAAATCACCATCTAGCTCCCCTGACCCCCTCAAATATAGTAAAAACTCACCTCCTTTCCAGTGCCTCGTGGGTTTGCCGGCGCTGGCTCTGCTCCCGATCGGCGTCCTTGGCTGTCATCATCAGAAATGATGATCTCAAACAATCACAATGCTTTCCCATGATCTCAGCCAAATGCCACCCTGGCCAATCAGCATCTCTATGGGGAAAGTTCAGCATCTCCATGCAGAGCGTGGAGACGCTGTACGTCATTGCTGCAGACTGTGCAGCACTGCCACAGGAAGCACCTCTAGTAACCATCTGAGGAGTGGCCAGTGGAGGTATCCCTCGGCTGTAAACACTGTGTTTTCACTACAAATGCAGTGTTTATAGCAAAAACCCTGCAGCAGCTGACTATACTCACCAGAACAAATACATTAAGTTGTAGTTGCTCTTGTGACTCTAATGTCCCTTTAATAAAGAAAAGCCATTGAATGTGCCAAACTGTTATTCATTTCTGTATTGGCATTGACAGTGAAGGCTTACAGCTATTTATGTCTTATAGAGTTACTGAGATCCTATTCCCCTTTAAGCTTGGCAGAGTGAGTATCCACATAGATATGGGTAGGATATAGATAGCGTGCCAATTAATCCCCACACTCACTAACTGCAGTCTAGGTTTCTAGGTTCTATATCATCCCCTGTCTTATTTCATAAACACCAAAGTGCTCGGAACTGAAACCCCAATTGCAAAATGAATGCTTAAAGTAGAGGATTTGGAATAATTCCGGAACTCTGCAGTAGTCGCAGCAGGGCTATTTTTGCAAAGTACTGCAAAAGTCTTGAATACACTACAACCTGCTGATAGCAACTCTACACACGGTAGAGCAAATGCCAGTCTGATAATGAGAGTTGTAGTTCGACAAATGCACAACTGTGCCCCATTTGCATATTTACGAGATTAGAAAGAAGAATCTTGATGTGAAAGCATTTCCAGTATAGGCCGGGGTGGACTGTACACTAACCCACACCTCTACAGCTCTCCGTAAGAAAAGGCTAAAGGAGTTTTAAATAAATTCCGTCTGACATACAGGAGTGCCAAAGTTCCTTCCCCTCTGTGTTATCTTTATTATCAAACCTACTCTGACTCCACATGTCATTACACAGAGACTCCGACCTCGTGACATAAACATGCCAACAAGGCATGCCTGGCTGCACGTAGCAGGTGCATTCCTGCTTAACACTGCAGGGCCCTGACCTCTCCCTTTTATTAGCCACAATGCACCTCAAGACTCGCTTTCAAACTACACCAGGGAATCTACCCACCCATTGATATTTATATAATCTGCATACCAACCTTTAAAGGGATTCTCTAAGCACCAAAACAACTTTAGCAAAAGTAGGTTTGGTGTACAGACTCTCCTGCTCTGTCAATTTAACTTCAATTACACACAGTAGGGTGTTGCAGGCTCTAGCAAGCAATTCGAGCAGGAGAGAAGGGATTCTATATTAAAGACACTTTGAAAATGAAAAGGTTAGATTTGACTTTAGTGTGACTGCAGAGGCATGATCTATGCACCAAAACCACTTCATTGAGCTAAAAGTGGCTTTGGTCCCTTTAACCCCTTAAGGACCAAACTTCTGGAATAAAAGGGAATCATGACATGTCACACGTCATGTGTCCTTAAGGGGTTAAACATATCAGGATATGTTAACTTACTCTTCTCCACAGTGGTTAATTGTTCACAAGTCTGGCATAAAGTTTATTGAGCCACACAACTGTGGAAGCTTTGCTGGTAATGCAACAATGAAATGGTTAAACCATATCAGGGAAAAAGAAAAAAAAAAAATTCTTACGCTGCAGAGTCACAGCCAAATTATACATTGAAGAGTAAAAAAAGTGTACGCAAATCGTGCATTTCCTCCACAAAGATTACTGAAATAATTTTGAATATGCAATATAGGCCAAAGGACAAAAGAAGGACAGCTAGGGTGCAGAAATCTAGAGAATTTACACCCATTTGTTCCTTTAAATAAAGTTTAATATTGAGAACATGGTATTAAATTTAGACTAACAAATAAATGTGCAGTATTAAAATTGCAGGGTTATATTCTCGCAGAGGTCTGAAGCTTCTATACACTTCCTTGATGCCGTGTTTCATTGCTGCGGAACTCTGAAACCCACGCCAATTACCGAGAACTTTGCTGTGGTAGACCTGTGACTACACTGATACCCACCAAATATTCTTAGTTCCAAGAAAAGAAGGACACCAGGGACATTCCGTGAAAATTACAGTCACCCAAGAATACAGCTCCTGTATTTTTAGCATTAGAAGTGTACTGCTGAGAGCACAGGCCTGCCCGTGCAAATATAGTTATATAAAGCCAAGAGCAGGGTCAGGTGACTATATGCTAAGCAGTCTCCAAGGTCAACAGGCTGCTGTTTCAAGGACGCACCTACTAAATAGGAGGAGGTTTTCCTTGAAAATTCATATCATGGAGCTTTCATCATAAAGTGTATTATGCCATGTTTGGTGTTGTGCACTAATGTTATCCATTACTTAAACACCACTCGTGAGCAAACCGTAATTGGATGGAGTAAAATGCACATCTTCAGCTATTAGGGAAACTCAATTCCTATAAATATCAAAAGAGGAAGGGGTCTGATAGTTTATCTATATGTTGTATTATCAGGCAAATGTATAGATCAAAAGAGAACAAGGGTTTTACGTTTGCTACTTCTGCTCTTTTGAGATTTGCAGTCAAATTGGTGTTTTAATTTAATACGAGCGTAATGGCAGGCTTAGAAACAAAATGTTCCTCATCTCATATCATGTATGTTCTTTTTTGCTTTCCGTCTGTTAAATGTTATGTAAAAAGGACTTAATAAAGATTGGGGGGAAAAAGAAGGATGGATGTTATTTTACTTATAATTAATTTGCATTTGTGACGTACAACTGGGCTCCCTGTCAATCATTCTTATAAAAACCTAGCAGTCCGCATTGAGCGAAGAGAAGATATGAAACAATGTTTCTATTTCTCCTATTTACTAACAATGTTGCCTCTGGCTGTGCCTTGACTAAACTGATATATGATGACATTTGCTGATTCTTTTTAATGTAAATTTAAAAGGAACCAGGGCGTCCGTTTTATTCAGTGCTGTAAATTCCACAGAACTGTCAGCTCCCATTTAACTGCACCAGAACAATAAGCAAGAAAACTGCACCCTATTTGGCTCAGAGAGAGAGCTGCTGCTGGCTACAACTTATCACCCAAATGAAATGCTGCATGAGCATTATGGGGGTGGCAGTTGGAGTTGCATGCACCATCTCTATGAACCGTATTTTGCTCAATTATAAGACCAGGATTTTTCACACAAAAAAAAAATGGGAGGGAAAAAGTGGGGGAAATGGGACACACAGAGGGGCTTGGGGCACAAAGAGACACACAGAAGGGTTGGGGAGAAAAGAGAAAGAGGGGCTGGGGGGGACAAGCAGACACACAAATGTGCTGGGGGGGGCACAAAGACATACAGGTGGGCTGAGGGGAGACAAAGACACACTGAAGGGCTGGGGGGGGGGGAGAGAAACACATAGGGGAAGGGGAAAAAGACACACTAAGGAATAGGGGAGAAACAGTCACACAGAGGGGCTGGGGACGTAAGAGGCCTGTCAGCCAGTCACACCAGTCCCCCAGCCACTGCTGCCAGCCTGCCACGGCAGCCTGCCGCTACCAGGAACCCTTCAGACAGGATCACCATGGGAGTCTGGCTGCTGGGAGCCTGGCTGCAGGGAGCCTGGCTGCAGGGAGCCTGGCTGCAACACAGAAGACCTGTGCCTGCATCCTCCTATTCAGTTCTCGGTTTGTTTATAATACACGTGTCTTTACCCACGTACGGCACCTGCATGCTAGTTTTACTGATTACGGAGGTTTGTTTGAGCCAACACTGAACCTTCTGTTTTCCAAGAGGGTTAAGCATACCATTGTAACTCACGTATACCTTCCATTATGCAGTAGGTTGTTCAGTATTTGTGAATAGTTTCATTTATGAAAATAGGTGAATGAATCTACTTAGCAAGCCAATTGCACTCTGTGCATGTTCCTTTTTAAGCAGTTGTTTAGAGAAGCTAGGAGACAGCGTGCATAAGTTACAAGGGAATTGTAACGCAACTTGAAGTTGTAGTTGACTGGGGAGCGCTCCGTCTTTAGACCGGTCACTGAAAGTAATTTGTGCTGGTGTTCTTACGGAGATATCTAGTGCAAGTAAAAAGCATTCCTACCAACATACCACTTCCATATCCAGGGAACGATCACTTGTGCTGAGCCTGCTCGTGTCCACTTGGGCACATACAGAGAAATATAGTATGAGCCACACTCTGCCACTGCGCTCTACAAACTCGTGTGTCTACACTTTGCACAACATGGTGGCTAAATTAATTTATATGGCATGCCTAGTCTCTGCCAGGACAACATTCTAAGAGTTACATAAAATGAGAAGTTGTGGTTAAAATAAGCTGCCTTTATACTGCATTGTGACTTAGCACAGTTGTACTACTGCCATACTTGCATTGCTTTAAAAAAAATAAAAAAATGGCTACTGTACCATCAGCATATTCCTGTTAAAAGGACATGCCAAGCACAAAAAAACAAACAAACCTACATGGTCTTCATGCTGCCAGTCTCCCCATAGGAAAGCATTGGGTGGCTAGTGTGCATGCACGGCAAAACGCTGAAATTCGCCAATCAGCATCGCCTTATAGAAATACGTTGAATCAATGCATCTCTATAGTGTGGAGACGCTTAAGCTACATCTTGCAAAGATTGCAGAACTTGGTCCAGGAAGTCTGTTTAGTGACTGAGTGGCAACCACTAGAGGTGGACTTTGGCAGCAATGTAAACAATGCCTTTTCTCAGAAAAGTCAGTGTTTACACTGCAGACCTTGCAGAGACATGATATATGCACAGAACTACTACATTGAGCTGTACTGGTTCTGATGTCTATAGTGTCCCATTATTCTTGTGTTTTGATGCAATGTGTCTCCCAGCAGTCTCTCATTTGTAAACACTGCATTTTCTGTGAAAAGGCAGTATGAGGCATAAATTTAAATATAAGGAAAAATAAACGCACAGCCTTTTAGGTAACCAACTTTATCGTAACTTGGTGCGTACATACTCAGTGCAAGCTGTAACGGACCGTTTTGCCCACAAGAGGTTAAAAACCGTTTAGGCGATATTCCCCTTTTTCAACTGCACAGACAGCTACTGCAAGCACCAATCTCCCGAACTGCAAACCCACGAATTCACCAACTCCCGAACTGCAACCAAGGGAATACTCGAAACTCCCGAACTGCATACCAAGTAGCACTCCAAACTCCCGAACTGGAGACACACGAATAGCTGCTAGCAGACGAACAGGAAAAGCCCCCAAGCGGCTTACACTCCTGGCAATCAGTCTCTAACAGCATACAGTAAATCCTCCCCCAATAATGAGACGACACTTCACTTTGAGGGTTAAGCAGGAACTGATTTACTGGGGCTAACTGCCCGGCTTTTATGCAGGTCTCCCACCTGGTGGACACTCCCCTAGGGGACCAAATGGGAGACTGGGACACAAAGGGTAAAAGGACCAATCACAGACTTACACATTTCAACCATCCCACAATGCATCACAATCCCTCCTCTCTGCCCTGGAGATAATTGGGAAGTAATCCAATTATCTCCAAAGACAGACGCAAAACTCCATTAACCACATGGCAGAAAAACAGTAAAAGACATAAAATTACCTACAGTTACATTCAGTACATAAAACATATACGTTCTACATATCCCCAGATAGCTAGGATCTGCGCACACATTATTACCGAATGGCGCTCAGATCACATACATACAGTTCAACCGCCATGGAGCCAAAGTCCTTCACATAGTCTTTTCGTTACATGAACAGGCTCCATGGCTTAGCTATCTGGGTGATGCTGTTCATCCGGTTAAACTACCGAATGAACAGTCATTCGGTTCCGCTCTCGAATGGGAAGGGAAGGAGGCTGCCACGTGTTTGGCAACCGAACAAAGGCCTCCCAGCGTTCATCAATTAAGCTGCGGTTAACCGCAGCTTCTGGGCGGTCAATTGACGGCACACTCCAGTTCCCAGGTGGTCCATCGTTCGGTAGTTTGTTCGGTAGATTGAATCTACTGAATACACCCTGGCAGAAAGGCATGAATAAACCTTTCAGCAGGGAAAATAACAGGTCTGAACTGCAGGGCCATAGTCTAAAGGGAGCAGGCGAGCAACCAGGCTTCTCCAGTGTACAGTGGCGAGGTTGGTTTCGCCACACAAGCATCTTAAAATGTGACAGTTTCACTTTAAAGTTTCAAAACTAAAAAAAATATAATAAAAACGCAACCGATTTCAGGGCTAGAAGCAAATAAACAATTACACACTGTAGCCAAAAGAATTTATGCAATTCAAGGCAAAATGATTGATTTGGTAATTTGTCTTCGTAAGAAGGCCAGAGTTGCACTGTGCAGGTAAAAAAAAGAACCTTGCACCAATTCCATTAATCAATAGACATGCACAGACATATTGAGAGCGTTACCACTAGACAGGAGTGGAAATTTTTTTTTCCAACAGAGTGGGACTAGGGTATATTTTCCAGCTCTGTATTTGTACACAAGTATGTTTTGCTAACTTGAGTACATTAGAAAACAACATATGAATGCATCTCAAACACAGCTAGAGTTGTTTTTGCAGTTTACACCTACATAGCCCAAGCTCAGATTCCACGATCCTTGCTCCACAGCTCTTATCAATCACAAGTCAGAAGCAAAGTGCTTGGTATGTACAACCATGGGAAAAAAAGAAAGTACACCCTCTTTGAATTCTATGGTATTACATATTAGGACATAATCACCTGTTTCTTAGCAGGCCTTAAAATTAGGTAAATACAAGCTCAGATGAACAGCAACACATGACATATTACACCGTGTCATTATATAACAAAAGGGAGAAGCCATGTGTGAAAGACTAAGTACACCTTATGATTCCATAAGCTTGATTGGTAGCAATAACCTGAAGTTTTCATCTTCTGTATGACTATCAGTCTCTCACATCGTTCGGGAGGAATTTTAGCCCTCTATTCTTTACAAGGTTGCTTCGGTTTATAAAGGTATTCTGGTATTTGTTTATGGGCAGCTCTCTTAAGGTCTCACCACAGCATTTCAATTAGGTGGAGGCCTGGGCTTTGACAGCCATTCTGTTGTTGTTTATGCCATTGCTGGTGTGCTTGGGATCATTGTCCCGTTGCATGACACAATTTAGGCCAAGCTTGAGCTGTCGGACAGATGGCCTCTCCTTTAAAGGGATACTATAGTGCCAGGCATACAAAGCTGTATATATTTGGCACTATCACTCCCTCTGCCTCGAGGGAGGGCCTCGCGTGCACCCTCCCTGGTAAATAAAGGTTTCAAAAACCCTTTATTTACTTACCTTGCCGCGTGCGCATTAGACCTCCCCATACAAAAGAACTGAATTAATACTTTCCTATGGGGGAAAAAAAAATCTGATGCTGGATGTCCCAATGCAGAACGTGAGGACTTCCCACGTCAGGTACAGGACCAAAGTTCTGTTTTGATCCAGGAAGCCCTCTAGTGGCAGTCTGGTAAACAGCCATTGGAGGCAAACATAGAGCTGCAATGTAAACAATTAGCTGAAGTGGTCTGGAAGTCCTATAGTGTCCCTTTAAATCTGGAATACTTTGGTATAAGGAGGTTTTTATTCTCGACTTAATGACTGCAAGGTTCCCAGGTCCTGCGGCTGTAAAACAAGCCCAAATCATCGTCCCTCCACCACTGTGCTTGACACAGTATCACGCACTCCCACGTCACGTTATGTAGTCACGTGGTCCGGACGCTAACCTCACCTCCCGGAAGTGGCCGTGTAAGAGATATGGAAGATCTGAAGTTTTGCAGCCGGTAACAAACTGAATGGTGAAAAGACTCTACACAGCACACATTCGAAGGAAGGAGGTGGAGTGGGGACTTCTTTTAAAGTGTTATCTGAATAAAGATGTGCAACTGTTCCTCGCTGGCGTCCTCGCCTGCATCACTGACCCTATTTGTGGTCTACACGTGCTGAAAGTTAGATCAGGCTCATCTTTATTTGTGACTGCTTCTTTATATTTTACACCTAAACTATTTTTTATTTTTGCTGGTATGAGGAGTTTGTGCTTATATGCTGTGTTTGGTTTTCGTCAAATGTGTCGCTGTGCATTATGGCCAAACATCTCCACCTTAGTCTTGTCTGTACAAAGGACATTGTTCCACAAGTTGTGTGATTTGTTCAGATGCAACTTTGCCGTGCTGCTAGGTTCTTTTTAGAGAGAGGAGGCTTTCTCCTGGCAACCCTTACAAACAAACCATACTTGTTCAGTCTTTTTCTAATTGTACGGTCATGAACTTTAACATGTTAACTGAGGCCTGTAGAGTCGGAGATGTAACTCGTCTGTTTTTTTTGACCAATTTCTCTGAGCATTGCACGGTCTGACCTTGGGGTGATTTTGCCAGGATGTCCACTACTAAGAAGATTGACAACGGTCTTGGATGTTTTCCCGCTTTTAAATCTTTCTCACTGTAGAATGATGGACTTTAAATTGTTTGGAAATTGCCTTATAACCTTACAATGCTTTCCTATAGGGGTTTGAGTGATGCTGGACATCCTCATGCATAGCAGCCTAACAACCCGGAAGATGTCTAGTGGCTCTCTGGTAGACAGCCACTAGAGGTAGAGTTAATTGTGGATAGTAATTATGGCAGTTTCTCAATAACTGCAATAATTACTAGTGGACCTGGGAATATGCACCTAGACCACTTCAATGAGCTGAAGTGGTCTTGGTGCCTATAGTGTCCTTTTAATTCCACCTTCCGGACAGCCACTAGAGGTGCTTCTGCAGCTGGGTCATGTGATTGATTTAATGCTTTCCCATGGGGGAGCTTGGATTAGCATGCAGATCATTGGATTAGGCTATCGCAGATGTCTCCTCCCAGACATTGTGGAAGTGGAGAGGTTAGCCGCGCAGAGAGAGCATTAATGCTGGAAACCGGTAAGTAAAACTCACTTTCTTTACAGAAAAAGGAGGGGGGAGACTGACTATAACTACGGGCAGGGAATACAGAAAATTTTAGGACTACAATCCAGGCAGCCTATCTTTGCTCACAATTGAGGGGGTTTAGTAATGGGCTATAGACTCAGCAACAATAAGCAATTCTGATAAATCCGTAGGTATTTAATATTAAAAACATGCCAAGATCTAGTTAACTATTTTAATAAAACTTAGAATATAAAGAGCACCAGATACACATCTAAGGGCAATTTTATAAAAGGATTAATCCAGATAGAACCAAATTGTTCCTTGTGCGCCACAATCCATCAAAAAGAACCTACCCAGCCTGGCACCTGCATTTATATAGTCACTAATTAGGGTCGGTAATAGGTCATGCATTACTCTTACTGACAAGTCTATGTGACTGATTGCATACCATGCATAATCTGGTGGTATAGAAATAGCAGATCAGATGTTACGGAGGTCCACGAATACATTAAGGAGACCTTACCTGCAGCTTGGAATGCTCCTCTAGTAGACGGTCGTATTCCTTAGTTAACCCTTCACACTGCTTCTTGATGGCGATCACTTCATTCTGGGATTTATTCAAAGCTGTGGGAAAGTTTAGAGATAGGAAATAATGAGCTCTTCTGCCAACACAACGTGAAGAATTCTTGAGTAATACGGTCAGAAATCCAACCAGATCCTCAGAAACATGGCTTCCATATAAACATCTCAGCAAGAAAACAACACAATTCACCTTTATCAACCTTCTTTTGAGAAATTAATAATTTTTTAAAAACATTTCTAATATACCATCCAATACAATAATTAAGTACTGACAATGTAACAAGGAGATAAAAATACGGGGGAAAAGACTGTGAAAAAGAATCTAGGGACAGGGCGAAAGCAGGCTCAAACAGAGTGATATTAAAAGTCGCAGCTTACAAGATCTATATGTATTTAAATGACACATTCTCCTTTGCAGATATTCTTACTTGACTTAATCTGTAAAGTATATAGCTAAGTGCAAGCTCTGTTATTAGTCTAATAATGCAAAACTCCAATAGGCAATGTTAAACATGCTTAACACTATTTCTTTTAAAAAATATACCCAAAGTAGTGGGGTGGGGCCTGGCTACCATGCCCGTGAGAAGTGTTTTGCTGAAGCTCTGAGTTGTGGCTCAATTTACTCTTGATTTTGGGATGTTTTAGACCTGTAGGCAGAGCAATTAATCATCCACAAAATTCTAGCATTGGTGAGGCGTTTTCTTGTCAAGTTTGGCTCATCGAATGTGGACATGTCCCCACTAATAGGTCCGTATGGTATGCAGCCTGGTGCGCCTTGAGAAAGGGAGAGGCTCTCCCACCTGGAGCAACCCAAGCCAAGCCCTGCGACAGTTGGCACCATGTTCCCTCCCCTTTGGACCGGGGGGAGTGATCCCAGTCCACACTCTGGAGGTTAGCCACACTATACTGGATGTCCCAGCAATACCGCTGATACAAGCCTCTGTGTTCCCTACAAAATGGCGGATGCTGCGTATTCCTCAGATCTTGGCTGTGAGAGGTCGGATGTGATGCATCGCTTGAACAAGCTTTTTAAATCCTTTTTGGATTAGCCGGCTGTTTGTATGCACTCAATAGCTACAGAAGTCCTGTCACTTACCTCTGAGCTGCCTACACGCTCCCATTACAGGTGCACAGATCTCAAAGCGAAGAGAGCCCAAAAAATGGCATCAGAGAGCTCCACGACTGAATTTAGATGCAGCTAAGCACCACCACTAAAATTTGGTGACTCACCCTAAATCCAGCTGAGACGCGAATCAAAGCTCCCAACGTGCCTGTACTCCACGCCGCACAAGGTCTTGATACCACATAGGAGAATCTTGCGGATCTCTCTTGGCCTGCCCTACTCATATGCCACTACCACATGTCTACACTAAGGTGGGCTCGACACCGGGACTCTTGTGGGTGGACTCTGTGCTGCCCCAGCAAGGCATCGGCTGATTTTGGTGCGGAGTCATTTATCATCTCTAACATGATACATTCCCCATAACACCTCTCACCACTATGTGCTGTGTGGGAAGAAAATGTTAGTAGTTTTGCTTTTTGTTTGTTGTTCTCACAGTGGGACTTGCAACCTGCCTAGCTGGGAGGTCTCCTGGGATTTTTTTCTCCCCCTCACTTTAAGTTAGTCTACACTACGCTAATGAGATATCTAACCTGCACTGTGTTTCTTGGCTTTTTTATTCCTTATTTTTAAAAATATGTGCGGGTTCCTCTATACACTTCATCTTGTGATATGTATCATACTATTGCTGTTCCAACAGTGTGTAATGTTTTATCATGCACATCAAAAATATAAAATATATATCTCCGTAAGTAAACCAATAACTGCTCACCCACAGACCTTGTAGTTACCATCAAATTAACACCGCTTCTAGCTGTAATCGGTCCCTCCCAAAACATGGTGAAACATTACATGTAGACATTACTAATTCTTAGGCAGGGAAAGAGAGCTTGAAGTCAATCTTTAGAACCTAAAGAAGAAACCGATGACTACACATAATGGATACTCAGGGTAAAGGGGGGGGTCAAATTGGTTGTTTAAACTTTAATATGTGCTGCTTAAAGACGAAAATAAACTAACTCTAACCCTCCTTCAAACTAGGGCTAAACATAACCCAGTGTCTACAGAATAAAATGTGTTATGTGTGGCAAACTGCTCAGAACAAGACAAAAAGAAAAATGGAGTGGGGCAAATAATGGTAATCTTTGGTAACCTTGTCTGGAGTTCAAGAACGGCTAGCTTTTCTATCCTTATATATGTGGTTATTAGATAGACAGAGATTTTAAGCTTATTGCAGCTCACTGTTGACATCAAATTATTTATTTTTTATTATGCTTTATATGAAAAAAACTATTGACCTGTACATGCAGGTAGTCCAGGTTTAAAATACAAAGTGAGGAAAATGTGATATTAATATAAGGAACATATTAACCAATGTGAGAGTCACTGACATTCAAAGCGTTAAGTGACCCACACATATTTTTGTCAGGACAGACTCCTTTTAAAACAGCCCTAAAAATAGAACAGGTTTTCTAAGAACGCCACATGGGGCCATACTTTAACCAGCCAAGTGTAATTACAGAATGCTGTATCCATGCACATAGCTGTTATGCAATCTGATGACCACACAAATATAGTTTATAAAGATAGGCTATACATTAGGTGCCGTGATGTAAAAGGACACAAGAATTTGACATTTAACAAACAAATAACAGACTGGACTTCGCACCAAAAGAGCAACAAACAAGCAAGTGACTGTCGTATTGTACATGTTCTCAATGTGTCTAATCACAGAAAGATGTGCCAAACATCAGAGCAATGCAACAGGTGGATCCCCATATTTGGAAGTACTACAACTGCAATGATGCTTTGCCAGACTTCAGAATACACATGTACTATATCTGGATACCTACATTTTGCAATCCCTGCATCTAACCCAATCTTACTGCTAGAGTGCAGGTCACGCATTCAGAAAGCCGTTGCCATAGCCCTGGCACTTGTGGGGAGCCAGAAATTATCAAAAGGTTAGGCAATTCTGCTCTAAGACCACCTGAGTTCCGGCATCTACATCAGAACGCCATTATTATTGAAGAGGACTGTCCTAATGATCTGAGAACAAGAGGGGAAATTAGAGACTTGGAAAATCTGTACTGCGAGCCATTGATTCTCTGACCTTGCGATATCATACTTAGTGATAACAAGTTTATTCGAAAACAAACAAGAAAACATCTTCAGCAAATGCTGGTTGAGCGTATGAGAATTGTGGTCTAACAGCAGTTTTGCAGGATGACCAGCAGTTGAATTATCAACGACATGATCACAGTGAACATTTCTAGAGGTCTAATCCGTATATTACCGCAAGCAACAATGAATAGGTTAGAAGGGAGTTAGTGATGTATAAAGATTACGGCTGACACAAGCAGGAGTTAGTTATAAATTGAAGAGCTGACCCTCTTTCTGTACGCTATGCATCCCTGGACATTCCAAATACGATAACAATAGTTAATTTGTAACACTCTCTAAGGAGAGCCCAATGTCTTGTGCTGAAGCAGGTCGGTTTGTACAGAAGAGGTATAGAAAAGGACAAGGGTTTTGGTCCAGTAACCAAGCATTTGTACATGTCACAACTTGCTGAAAAAGGGCTAGGCTTCTTGATTCGGAACAGCACCAAGCATTCAGTGGAATACTTAAAATACTGGGAAAAAAAACAAAGAAAAATCTACCTGTTGAATGTTTTTACCTTTTGGAAGGTTTTATTTAGCAGAAGACCTTGTATACACACTGGCTGGAGTTGACCCTTAGAGCTGACCCTTACTCTATTAATGTGTTCTAAAGATAATGCATTAAAAGACCATAATAAATGCCTCATCTATTTCTCAGGGTGTGATAATTAATCTAGAAGATAAATTGATAGATAATGTTTAACGTTTATGGGGAGTTAATGGACATGCATGCTAAATATTACTAAGGGGGAGTTGTATTAACGTGAGCTGGTGCTATACGGAGTCTTGTCACCAAGCACTAAATATGGAGGAATTACCACAAATAAGATACCTCTCAGCATTTCACACCTTGAACTCAAAATAGCTTGTTTGCACTTAGTAATCTTCAATGGATATTCAAGGGAACATTTCCATGAATTTTCACAAGAATTAATGAAATACACACAAGCTACAGGGACCTTTCATTTTACAAGCACAAATGTTGATTGTTTTATGAATTAAAAATGTATGTGGTGTGTGCACATTGCACATTAAAGAAGCACTATAGTTAGCAGAACATCTACAGCTTAAAGGGTTACTCCAATGTCCATGACCACTTCAGCTTTTAGAAGTGATAATGGTGCCGGGAATCCATATATGAAATGTTTCAGCTTGAAACGTTGCACATTCAGAGGTATTTGGACTTTTGCGTCAGGTGTTCGTTACAACCGCGGCACACGTGACTTCGGCAGCCCAGAACTCTGTGCCAGGCTGCTTATTGTCAATGCTGTGCAAAAATTATGTGTCGTCTGTGCGCAGTGGCACCAAACAGAACCACCATTTTCACTTACAAGCAGTGCAAGGAGCTCTTCCTCTGTGCTGCCATATTCCCCTTCACATTCTATTAATAAATATAGATTTCTGTTACCCTTTACTTAAATTTGCTCATGGAGCTCTCCATCCATGCAGCCTTTCCTCCATGCTGCACTTGCACCCCAAATTTGATTGGACCATGGACCACATACAGTGACGACAGAGGAGATGTGGAAATAATCGGGGAGAACTTGGCCCAGAGCTGGATTCAAGGTAATTATTTCCACATGGTTTTATGCAAACAAACATGGGTGGACCAAGTGACAAAAGCATAATAGGGCACTATAACCTCTCCAAAAATTACAATAAAGAAAAGGTTTGAGTAAATCCTTAATGTAGTGGTTCTGGGGCACAAAGCCTGTCACTGCCTGCTTAGTAAACAATGCTAAGATGCTGATTTGTGTAGCATGGCAATTTTTCCTATGGAATCCTGGCATCAATTAGGCCTTATACCGCCTCTTGGAAATGAAAGACCAGGAGTTTGTGTATTGTGTATTTGTGTGGTCTGAAAAATACAATTAAATGTAGAAATTCACACTGCCGTACTTCTGTCAATCCTGGAAATGGCACCTTCATCTTGGCTCCCTGTCCATCTTTGTATTAAGCTATGCCCTTTTTCTGTCATCTGTCAATGCGCATTAGGTCTCCCCTGCTGGCGTACGTCGGCGGGGGAGGAGCTGAGACAGCGCCAAGGGACATCGGTGCTGGACGCAGGTAAGTAATAGAAGGAACTATTAACCTCTTCTGCACCATGGTGGGGGTGGGAGGGGCCCTGACAAAGGGGGAAGCTACAGTGCTAGGTTTGTTTTCCTGGCACTATAGTTTCCCTTTAAATTCGGATTATATATTGTACCATAAGCTTTAATATGCATCACCTCTGTCCATGTTTGTAATGAAACAATTATATAACTGATTTAAATTTTTTTTTTTTTTTTTTTTTAAACTTGCCTTGCATATCTTTTCCCCAAATTGTCAGCTGCACTACTTACATGTGGGCTATATGTTAAACAAAGATTGCTGTAATAAGACTAGTATCATTTTCAAAGGCGAACTTAAATCATTTCCAAAGGGTGTTTAGTAGTGATGTCACGTGTTATCCTCAAGAGCTTTACAGATTACAGATCTCAAGGACAGTAAGGGACATCAATACTAAACATTCTCTGCAAATGATCTTCCCCTAAAAAAAAATAAAAAAAATTATATTATTCCCACTGATGGTATTTTTATTTTTTGGGGGGAGGGGGGGAGGATTTGTAATTATGACGGCCAAAATATATCCTTGTTTCTTAAAAGGACCAAAAGGTCCAAAACTATTTTAGCTTAATGAAACAGTTTTGGTGTATAGAACATGCCCCTGCAGTATCGCTACTCAATTTTCTACCATTTAGGAGTTAAATCACTAGCAACACCTTCCGTGGCTGAGACTCTCACAGCCTCTATAGACATTTCCTGAAAAATAAGTATAAAGATTTTAGCTTCCAGTATTGCATAATGTTGCATGCTAAATCCTGCAACAGCCTCCTCTGTGTGATTAAAGTTCACTTAACAGAGCAGGATATGATAACGTCTAAGGTAAACACATTGTGCTGTAAGATCTGATTGAAAATGTAACTTTTTTTCATGGAGGATGTGTGAGTCACAGCTAGAGGAGGTGTGGCTAGGACTGCATACACAGAGTGGTTTAACTCATAAATGGCAGAGAATTGAGCAATGAGACTGCAAGGTCATGATCCATACAACAAAACTACCTTATTAGGCTAAAGTTATTTTGGTGCAAGAAGTGTCCTTTTAGGTAGTTTGTCAGGGTTATTCACTAAAGTGAGAATTCAAAGTGAATTTAAACGGAAAAAACTCTCAAAGCCAACTACTTTTCAGTTCAGTTGCTCTGGGCTTAAGTTTGAAATTCACTTAGAACTGTCCCTTTAGTAAATAATCCTGTCTGTCTCCTTTAAGGCTAGTAGTAAACCATGGAAGTTCACAGAATCACTGAGCATATCTTACTTTTCTTGGTCGACTCCAGTTCTTCCTTGAGCTTGTTGACATCTCCTTTGAGTTTCTTGTTTTCTTCCTCTGCATTGTTTTCTGGAAGATCACTCACCTCCACCCCAGCGGCTTTCAGTTGCTGAAAAGAAATGTATTTTTAGAAATAAAGGCGGTAATTATTTAACCCCTAAAGGACCAAACTTCTGGAATAAAAGGGAATCATGACATGTCACACATGTCATGTGCCTTTAAGGGGTTAAAGGTATAAAACATATCTAAAGCGACGTGTTCCCATACTAGGGCTTACAGGTCAAGCGTAATGCATCAACATAGTGTATTGCAACATCATCTCCTCCAACTTACTGTAGAAAATAAAACCTCCTATGTCACCTCTATCTACTGAAACCTGTACACTAATAAATCCTAAACCAAGAGAGGGTATTAATTTTGTCTGCACAGACTGAGTGTACCAGTCAGAGTGGCAGACTGGCCACACGGCTGTCTTCTGCTAGCAGTATTGTACGACGTATGTAGATCTTGAATTCTACTTTCATATTAACCTGGCCTTCGACCGAGTAATTGCTTAGACCAACTGAGTCTAAATGTCCAGTTTTATCCACTGATGCAAGAAAAGGTTTTACTCTAACAGTTTCTGACCTATCAAATGAACTAAAGATACTACAAAAAAGGGATCTCTTTTCTGGGTAGCAGACTTTAAACCCTGAGATCACAGGACAAGGATGAGAGTTAACACTTTGGGTTTTGGATAGATTTGGTAATTGAAGACTAGTAGTAAACTCTCACACTTGCTCTGAAACAACTCGTGAACGATCCTAAATTTTAAGAAGACGCGAGTCATCTGTTTATGTAATAACTTTGTGTTTTTGAACGCTTTGGACCTTCTGTAATTGTTAGTCTTTGCTGCTTTGTCACCTCCTGATTACAGGATTTCACTTCCCTTTGTCTGTAACTAGTGAGAGTATTTGTTTCATTTTACTTTATGGTAATTTAATAGCATAACGGTTTCTCTACTTGCAAAGGGCTCTACAAGTAATTTCACGCCTTTTGGCATTGCGCTAAGCTTTTCTTCTGACTCTGTTTAGTATGAAAGACGAACAAAGCCATGTGACAGAAGGCCTTTGAAACAAATGTGTTATTTTTATAAGACTACATGTAAGTGTAAAAATACACACTCAACACACTAGAATAGACTTTTTTTTTTATTCTTCCTTTTACTAAAGCTCAACTCATACAATTATCATAATGCAAACCAAAATATTTGTCAGGATTATAAAGTTATGCTTTAGTTATTTACTGGTACTTAGAAAGACTTAAATTGTTAAATGTGTGTCGCGTTAAAGTAACTAACTGAACTACGGAGCATGAGAGAGATTTTCTAGTGATGAAAAATGGTGACGAAACATTAACCCCTTAAGGACCAAACTTCTGTAATAAAAGGGAATCATGACATATCACACATGTCATGTGTCCTTAACCCCTTAAGGACCAAACTTCTGGCATAAAAGGGAATCATGACATGTCACACATGTCATGTGTCCTTAAGGGGTTAAAGGACCACTATAGGCACCAAGACCACTTCAGCTTAATGAAGTGATCTGGGTGCCAGGTCCATCTAGGCTTAACCCTGCCTGCTGTAAACATAGCAGTTTCAGAGAAACTGCTATGTTTACATTTGGGTTAATCCAGCCTCTAGTGGCTGTCTCACTGACAGCCGCTAGATGCACTTCCGCGCTTCTCACTGTGATTTTCACAGTGCCTTGGTGCCCTCCCAGGGTAAGTAGTCAAACGGTTTAAAAACAGTTTGACAACCTACCAAGAATCTGCCAGGATAGGGGCTGTAGTATGGGAAAGGGGCGCAATGTGTGTGGAGTGAAGTGTGTGTGCGTGTGTGTGGGGGAGGGGGGGTGCAGTGTGTGTGTTTATGGGTGTGCATTGTGTTTGTGACGGATGTAGTGTGGGTGTGTGTGAGTGTAAAGGATGTAGTGTGCGTGAGGGGGCAGTTTGTGTGTATTGGGGAGCAGTTTATTTTTTTTAAAAAAAACACAAGCCCTGCACTTTTCATTACCCCCTCCCATTAGCAATCCCTGGTGGTCACAGTGGTGACAGTGAACTCTAGCCTGCTACAACGCTCCAAGCTCGCAAGAGGAGAACCCGGCGGAGCAGGTTAGCAGGAGGTTAGAGCTCGCCCGGGTCCTCTCTCCCCTTCTGGCTGCCAGAATTACAGTGCTAGCGGGCCAAAGGGGAGATCTCCAGCAGAGCTGAAAGCGGAGACTAAGGCACGGTACCCGGTGCTATGATGAGTACCCGGTGCTTGCGGCGCCCCTGTGTGCCTGTCACACAGTGTGGGAACTGCTGCTCTATAATGAGAATTGTCAGTAACTGAACGTGAATTTCAAATTTTAGGCCAAAGTAGCATAGATGACCGAGAATTTTTCCATTTCGGCTATCCTGAGAGAAGAGCAGGGCCTTGCAATGTTCACAGCAGTCAACCCTTCTACCGTTTGTTGAGGACTTAGACCAGAGGTAGGCAACCTTTTGGCACTCCAGATGTTGTGGACTACATCTACCATGATGCTTTGCCAATACTATTGCTGTAAGAGCATTATGGAAGATGTAGTCCACATCATATAGAGTCCTGAAGGTGGCATATCACTGACCTAGACTAATAAATTCTGCTCAGTTGGGTCAAACCCAAGACTTCCTTTGAAATCCAAACAGAGTGTAAGTTTAATATGAATTTTATCAGATACCTTCTTCAGCTTGTCATTTTCCTCCATGTACTTTTTTGCGGCATCACTGGCGCTCTCGGCCTGCTTCTTGAAGGCTTCATTCGAAGCCAGGAGTGTTGCTTGCTTGGAAATCAGTGTGACCAGGCGTCTCAGCAAACTGCAATGTAAAGACAGGAGTTTACAAGTTTACACCTAACCAGTAAAACTGTGGATCTGTCAAACTGCTCAGTGGGATGATTTAATGTAAAAGTAATTGAATGGTGCGGACAGGTTATCCCTATCTATCGGCTTTATTTCCACCACTGGTGACAAAAGTTAATTAAAGGACCAATATAGTGCCAAGAAAACAATCGTTTTCCTGGCACTATAGTGCCCTGAGGGTGCCCCCATCCTCAGGGTCCTCCTCCCGCAGGACTCTGGGGAGAGGAAGGGGTTAAAATCTTATCTTTCTCCAGTGCCGGGCGGGGAGCTTTCCTCCTCCTCTCCTCCTTCCTAGCGACGTCATCGGTTGAATGCGCATGCGCGGCAGGAGCCGCGCGCGCATTCAGCCAGTTCATAGGAAAGCAATGCTTTCCTATGGACGCTGGCGTCTTCTCACTGTGATTTTCACAGTGAGAAGCACGCAAGCGCCTCTAGCAGCTGTCAATGAGACAGCCACTAGAGGCTCTAGAGGCTGGATTAACCCTCAGTGTAAACATAGCTGCTATGTTTATAAAAAAAAAAAAAAGGGTTAACCCTAGCTGGACCAGGCACCCAGACCACTTCATTAGGCTGAAGTGGTCTGGGTGCCTATAGTGGTCCTTTAACTTGTAACTCTCTGACCAACACTAACGGTTCTAAACCGCAAACAGCCTCACACGCAGAGGTGATAATGGTTTAAAGAGTGTGATCTAATGTGTATTGCCAGTGCATCATAAGCGCCCTCTACAGAAAAGTAGAGTTATAACAGCTGTCCTTTTGTCAAGGGTAAAGTCTGCTTTATTCTGGGGAAGAAGGGGAGGTGGGCAGTGTAACAAATTGGCGTGAAATACATTTAAGACACCTGTTATTGAAGTTGGCTAAATGCATTTAGACAAACAAGTACAGACACTTAAAGTAATTTCAAAGTGCATTAGCTTGAAAATCAGGAAAATATGGACGAAGTTAATGAAAGTAAGAAAAAAAAAAGAGAACATTTTTACTGTAGCAGATGCTAGGCCTGCTTCCTCAGGAGACCTGGACGGTGATTTTTAAAAACCACTTCTTTATTCAGCCGTGCAAAACAAACAGGCTGTGACGCTGTCATAGTGGGTTATTTATGCAGGTATAGAGCACATCACCAGCAAAGCAATGCATCATGTTTTAAGCAGAGTAGAAAAAAGCATCTCAACAGCAGGGAGGGCACAGGTAGGTCGAACAAAACCACAAACGCAAAGACGCTATTTAACCAAGGGTTTGTGTATTCTTAAAAAAAAATAATAAAAAAAAAAAATTCTCGGTGTCTAAACTATATAAAAAGTAAGCTCCTGACACTCAAATGTACCTAGGTGTATTATTATGACACCCTGCGCCCTACCCACGAGACGTCGAAGTGGCTCAGAATTCCATAACAACTCATGTTAGAATTCCTAAAGAGAGCATAAATAAACAGCAGGTTCGTACATATGGTACACCGCAGAGTCAGTACACAGAATCGGTCAGGCTAGATACAACAAGCCAAGCATTCACTGAAGCAGGCACGACATGTACTTGACATATAGCGGATTTAAGCAGTGTTCCAATTTCAGGATGAAACAGATCGCTAAGTACTTAACTAATTACAAATAGTTACACTGCCCATCATTGCACCAGCCAAGATTTTGGCACCTTAATAATGACTTCTTGGAAGAGAGGATTCATCATCAATTATTACTGATGAATTTAAAAAAAAAAAAAAAAGATAAATAAAAGTGTTTATATGACTAAAAACAGGATCATTAAGTTATTTCTATTATTTTCTGTTAACTTAATCAAAAGTATGTCCTATTACATTCAGCTACATGTTGGGGAGGATGTGGGTACTCATCGCCACACTCCCTGTACCATGTTGCTGAATAATTGGACCTGTAATTCTCTACATTAAAAAGCTGGACAAGGCTGTTCTAAAGCCATTTCTGCAATAGTTACAAATCATATTAAAAACCTCAAATCAATGCCAAATAGATTGATTTATAGCGACATAGAGAAGTTTGATTACAGATCGTCTGCAAATAATTATTCCCATTGGTCAGTATTTTAGGGAAAATTCATTATTGTACCAAGGCACAGGCTGAACTTTGCTGCAAGTCTTGGCAGACATATTCCGCTTGTGTAATGGTTGGTATTCCTGCAAATACACCAACATCTTTTTTTATTTCATTTTTTTTAATGAATTCTCCACAATTCAGAGTGAGAACTGTTTTAAAAAAAAAAAGTAAATTTCTGTCACTTATTTGTGGGACCGTCTCAGAAAAAGAATCACAGGAAATCGTCCAGATAAGAAAAATCCCAAGAAGTGGGAGAAGCTGTGAGAAGATGGCCACTCTCAGAATTCTAAGCAGCTAGGTGTTCGATTTTCTTTCCTTCAAGGAATTTCTTTTAACAAATTATACGATCCATCTTTAAACTGTCATCTGCAGACATTTCTCAGAATCCATAATAAGCAGATCGTTCTGTTATCACCTTGCAGCTCACGTAACCAGCAATACAGGTTATTTCAATTCCATTACCAGGAAATCCACGCTGGCGTTGGTAACAAATCTAGTAATATAACCTTGATCTGCAATTGTTTGCGAAATACGCTGGTTGAGCATCCAGATACACAGTCCCAAACTTTTTTTTTTAACAAGAGACTTGAATTCCAAAAATGCAATATTTAATAGAAGACTTATTAGATATAAGCATACTTCCAGACAGACTTATCAGCTTTAATTGATTGGCAAATGGGAGTCCCAATTTTAATTCAGAAGCTTATTTAAAAAATTTAAAAAATTAAAAACAGACTGTGAAATAAAGGAAGTTTAAACATTAGATGACTCTTTACAGGCAGTGTTTAGGAAGGCTGTTTAAGTCACATGCAGAGAGGTGTGACTAGGACTGCATAAACAAAGTGATTTAACTCCTAAATAGCAAAGAATTGAGCAGTGAGACTGCAGGGGGAGGATCTATACAGCAAAACTGTTTAGTAAAGCTAAAGTGGGTTTGGTGCCTATAGCATCCCTTTAACCCCTTAAGGACCAAACTTCTGGAATAAAAGGGAATCATGACTTGTCACACATGTCATGTGTCCTTAAGGGGTTAAAGACTGCATTCAACCTTTTAACTGTAAAGTCTATGAGTTTGTTCCACACTTTGCGGTGGCTTGAGGCACACCAGAGAGCCATGGCACACTGGCTGAAAACCACTGAAAAAGGCAATGACAGCCACCACTTCTTACATAGTATCGTTAAAGATCCATGAGAAAACGGTTTTGTAACTGTTTTGACCAGGAGCATAGTTTGTTTATCTGTTATGTAACTATTTTTAGATTGAGTATGCAAAGATAAACAAATACCACTCTGGGAAGGAATTAACTGGGCACCCGTGCCAAGCAAACCCAACTTGTTCCTTTTACAGTTATGTTGTACAAACTGTGTGAGCAGGCATGTGATTATCACGAACAAAAGATATTCTGTACTCGCTGCATGCCACGTTTCCTGGCTGTGATTAAAGCACGGTGCTGTATTGGGAGTAAGTGGTTAAGGCATGTTCTTGATTAGCAGGTATGCAGATGTGATGAAAACAGTTTACGCACTGCTAAATGGCATATCTAATAATTATTAGCATGACCTATGTCAGAAGTGCAGCTACTGCAAATACATACCGGTAACCACCAACATTTCAAATGTACAAAGATGTACACTTTAATTATGGGGGGTGTGAGTGGGGATGTGGACAGGGTCGGAGCTGTTCTGAGAATTTTTAGGTGACTTAACTAATAATTTATGCAACTAAAATGTAATTTAGAACAAGAACAATGTATCTTATTTACACAGACTGATTTCTAAACACATTCATTGTAGTTGAAAGACAAATTACAGTGTATGGAGCTCTGTGATACACTCAGACAAAAACAATATGGAGCGCCGAAAAAAAGAGGAAAAGAGGGATTTTGGCCCAAAAAAGGGACTGTTCGCCAGACATAGGGACACTTGGGAGGTATGTAAGTGAAGCATAGCCATTAATATGAAGGGTACTTTGAAGAACATTATTCTAAACAATAAACAATTTCAATAAAGCATTTGGGAATTATATGATTCTGAGATCAAAATAAATCATTAAATTTTTACAAATCGGTAGAAGAAATCTCATTGCTGAAATACAGATGCTTAAAATGACAGAGACATGGTTCAACACCCCAAAGTGTGTAATGGATTCAATGCTATTCTTAATATGGTCTCTGATAAAAAAAAAATGTATACTGCAAGACCACATTTAATCCAATGGGGCCATGCAAAATACATCACATATTATGCACAAACGCTGCACACTAGTTTAACCCACATTACTTATAGCTTTCTGTAAATGTGATCGGTTGCTGCCACCAAGTGTTCAAACTCTAAATTACAAGATCCAAACAAAATTGGGGGCTATGTGTAAAAAGTGTCCTGCATAAAGAAGGAGTCGAGTTACCAACGGAACGTACCTGCTGGTTTCCATAGTGATTGTTTTGTGGGATCAATACCGGGACATTTAAATATTCGCTGCTCAGGTCACTAGGATATTTATATGTAAAGCTGCTGTGGCAGAAGTGATTTGGGGAGCCAGTATTAGTCATGTGGCATTCCAGCCATGAACCCCAATCAAAATCAATGAATACATCTTTGACAAATAAAAAACAGAGTGGGGGGACATGAGCACAGTAAAATCTGACATATCTCCATTAAAAGAGGGTTGCTTAATAGAAAGCTAGGGCATCACAGCACTGGCAATTCTAATAGATTCATACACATAGTAACCAGATCCAATTGCATGATTTCCACATAATTAAACATAAATGTATTGTATATATGCAAATATGAGCTTTTGTGAAAGAGAAATAAGTGGCGTTTATCAAGCAAGTCTAAATGGTCACAGCCATTAACATTTAACAACCTACATGAGAAAACAAGAGAAAACTGCTCGGTTCTGCCCAACTCAGCAGATATCGGGTTGTTTCAAAAATAAAATGATACATAAATGGTATTTATATAGCGGCAATTTATTCTGCAGTGCTTTACAATATTATAAAAGGGGAAATTGAACAATGAGACCATTACAAAATGTTACAGGAAAAAGAGGTGAATGAGGTCCCTGCTCAAACGAGTTTACAGTCTACAGGAGGTGGGGTGTAAAACACAACAGGAAGAGTATTGAGCGAGACCGCAAACAAACAAGGTGGGAAAGTAGCAGAACTGGAGGTGAAAGTGGAGTGTGGCCCTTTAGGAGAGAGCAAGTGACATGTTTTTAAAACAGAAGTCACGCTGGAAGGCCATAAGCTTTTCTGAAAAGATGGGTTTTGAGGGACTTCTTAAATGATTGAAGACTACGGGAGAGTCTGATGGAGGTGGGCAGGCAGGCAAAGGAAAGGAGCCATTCGCGAGAAGTCCTGCAAGCCCAAATTAGAAGTAAGGGTGCGAGCAGCGGACAGGAGAAGGTCCCCGGCAGAGTGGAGAGACCGAGAAGAGGCATACCACGAATCAGTAAAGAAATAGAAAAGGCTAGAATTGTTTAAAGGAACACTATAGGGTCAGGAACACAAATATGTATTCCTGACTCTATAGTGTTGAGCCCCCTTATAAAAGTTTAAAACTCACCTTCTTTCCAGTGCTGCGCGGGACAGCCGGCGCTGGCTCCGCTGGCACTGGCTCTACCCCCCTTTTGACAATCAAAGGCACGAGGGCAGTGTCAGGATTACTGTTTGATCCAGCACGTAGAACTGTACAGCACGGATGACAAATAAGTAACGTATTACCGGTCCTTAGAATGGCTGGGTTTAACGTACAAAGAATAGTCAAAAATACTAGCCGAGGTCAGGGAACACAGAAAGGGACACAGCGATGAGGAAAGCCAGGAGTCAGGATACCAGAATATAGAGAAGTCAATAAACAAAGCCAAAGTCAAAAACCAGGTAGAAAACTAAACAGGAACGCGCTCTCGGACAACCACAAGGGAAACCACGACAGGGCACTGAGCAGGCTGAGAACTGGGCCTAAATACCCCTCCTTTAGTTCTGATAGGCTGTAACCGGCCTTTGACCCCAAAGTCAGTTACCAGGTTTCATTTGCATAATTGCTGCTCAGCATTAACCCTTCTGTGGATTAGGTTGCTGCTCGGCACAACTTTTCCTGTGTGGACAGTAAATGTCATTAACCACTTTTCTATAAGCAGATGAATACGTGACAGGCAGGGCCAAATGCTGTTTTGGCCAATCAGGACTTTCTCATAGAGATGCATTGAATCAATGCATCTCTATGAGGAAAATTCAGCATCTCCATGCAGAGGGTGAGGACGCTGAACATCAGGGCTGCTTTTTCGGCAGCCCTGAGCCAGGAAGCCCCTCCAGTGGCCATCTAAGGAGTGGCCATTTGGAAGTGTCCCTAGAGGCAATGTAAACACTGCCTTTTCTTTGAAAAGGCAGTGTTTGCATGAAAAAAGCCTGAAGGGAACTATTATACTCACCAGAACAACTACATTAAGCTGTCCCTTTCAAGCTTTATGGGTAAGAGTTCGTATTTGGATTTGACTCCAATAAGATACAGGAAACCAATGCAAAGATAAACAGAGGGGCAAGGTGTGAGATGAACAATGGGAGAGAAAGGGCAGACTAGTGGCGGCATACATTACAGATTATAGACTGGCAGGACGGCTTCTGGGGAGACCAATTACGGGAGAATTACAGAAATCCATGCGAGAAATTGCTAGAGCATGAACAAGCTCCTTGGCAGCATCTTGCTTAAGAAAGGCAGATGAAGGCAATATTTTAAATTGGAATAGAGAGCTTTTAGCAACAGACAAAATAGGAGGCTCAAAGAGAACACCAATACAGTGAGCTTGCAAAAACAGGCTGATGCAGGTACCATAAACTTGCACAGAGTGTGAAAGAGGAGAATCCTTATTAAGAGGAAAAAGAAGCAGCTTCGTTTTAGAGGGATTGAGTTTTTGAGAGGACATCCAGTCAGAGATGGAAGAAAGGCAATCAGTAACACGTTCTAGGACAGCAGGGGAGTGATCAGGGGAGGACAAATATATCTGGATGTCAGTGTACAGATGGTAGCGGAATCCAAAGGAATTAATGAGTTTGCCAAGAGAGGCAGTATAAAGAGAGCCAGGACGAGGGTAGGAGGTGTCATTGGAAAAGGAGACACCAAATGAGAGATTTGGGAGAGATAGGAGGAAAACCACAAAAGGACATAGTTACAGACAACAAGGGATTGAAGAGCCTGGAGAAGGAGGACATGATCAACAGTGTCAGATGCGGCAGAGAGGCCAAGCAAAATTAGTATCTAGTAGTGGCCTTTGGATTTAGCGGTGATTAGATCATTTGTAACTTTAATCAGAGCAGTCTCAGAGTGAAGTGGGCAAAAGCCATACTGAAAAGGATCGAGGAGAGAGTTGTAATTGAGCAAACAAATTAAATGGGTAAAGACAAGTCTTTCTAGAAGGTTTGATAAAAAAAAGAGAGCAGGGATATAGAACAATAGTTGGAAGGAGAAGACTAGTCAAGAAATTGCTTTTTTTAGGATGGGTACAACAGTAGCATGTTTAAGGGGAGCAGGGACAACACCAGAAAAAGTGAGCAGTTGAGGCAAGAGGAAAGGAGAAGCACAACCACCTCCTGTTCAGTAGCCGAGGAGAGGTCTGAAGGGTACGGAAGGTACGGTCCAAGTACAGTTGAGAGAGAGGCGAAAAGGAGGACCGCTATAGGCACCCAGACCACTTCAGCTCAATGAAGTGGTCTGGGTGCCAGGTCCATCTAGGGTTAACATTAGGGTTAATCCAGCCTCTAGTGATGTCCATAGAAAAGCATTGAGAAATGCTTTCCTATGGACTGATTGAATGCGTGCGCGGCTCTTGCATTCAGCGCTCACGTCGGAAGAGGGAGGGGATTTGCCCAGCGCTGAGGGAGCCTGGCGCTGGAGAAAGATAAGTGTTTAACCCCTTCAGCAGAGCGGGATCTAAAGACCCTACAGTGCCAGGAAAACAAGTTTGTTTTCCTGTCACTATAGTGGCCCTTTAACCGTTTTATCTTGTCAGTAAAAAGCAAAGCTATCGGCTGAAAGATTATTTTGGTGGGTGGCCGCAGCAGGGCGATGGAGAGAGCTGAAGATATCAAAGACGCCTGGGACTGCACTGTATGAACGCAAGATGAATTTGTAATGGAGAAGGTCTGACAAGATGCAAGACTTCCTCCAACATCGTTCAGCTGAACAGGAGCATCTCACATATAAGGGTGGCGATTTAGTGTGACACTGTTGGCGGCATACCCTCCTTGAGGTGCATGTTTGAGGCTGGGGCTGCAGCGTCCAGGGCAGAGGTGAGGGTAGCGTTATACAAGGAGATAGCAAGTAAGGGACAGGAGAAGGTAAGGATGGTCGAGAGTTCAGAATGGACATCATCTGAAAGTTGCTAGAGGTCAAGAAAAGCCAGGTTCCTTCCTCATCTCTAGTATGGTGCGCACCTCAACTGATGAACATCAATCAATTAAATGTATGTTCCCTTTTTATTTTATTTTTAAATACCAAATATCATTTTGGCAGAAGAGAGAACAAAGTTTAGCATAGAAAGATTAAGAAGATCAAAAGAAAGGAGTGGTCAAAAAAGTAGTGTATATATCAATATGCAGCATAGCATAAATGACTACTTAGATAAACAAAACAAAAAAAAGCAAAAATACTGCCCCCATGTGCAGACAGAATATCCAGAAAAGGGATTTTTATTACTATTCAAAGCCATTCACATTCAAACAACCATTAGAAGAAAATAAACTGCTACAGTACAATAAACAGTACAGACAATTAAAATCTAGACAATGGCAAGGAAAGAAACAGACAGAATTCTTAGTCTGTGGTTTACTCATTCAAGTCTAGTATATTAGTCAATGAGTACAGTCAGCCATTAGTTCTTCTGGGATTGATAAATGAGATCCACAAAGTTGGTTAATAAAACCTAGATTTCAGGACATCTTTGGAAACTAGCAAGACGTTAAGTAACTAGGTAAACACTAGTAAAAGATTTATGTATTCTTAATGAATGTCACCTAGGAGTACTCCCCATACCCAAAAATTCATATATACAAAATAAACACATGCACTTAGAGGCCACCATAAAATTTCAAGAAAATTCCTTCCTGGCAATTCACTACTTTCTAATTATAAACAAGAATGGGGGGAAAAAAAGGATCAATCATGTGTTATAAGTTATATACTGACAAAAAAGCTACATGAATAGGACATACATAAAAGCCTTATGTAGAGGATATCCCCAGTAACATGTATATTGATTTGAACAGTGGTTAAATTCCATCATGGAGTGTTTTCGGCAAGTCAATCATTCTGTTACTTACAAGGACAGCAGCAGGGAAAACCCTGCAATGTACAGATTGCGCTGAGCTCGAAACAGTTTCATGTGGATGTGCTCGACAGCAACTGGATTATTCTTGAGATCCACTTGCTCACCGACTCCATACTTCTGGATTTCACGTAGAGCATCTAAAACGGAAAGTGGAACAGGACATTCACCAAAGCGAAAATAAAGAGTCAAAACGAAAGCATGGCAGCTTTCAATAACAGCAAGGCTATATCCATTTTTCTTTGCTCCTGTACCAGGGCTCAAAAAATTCCACCCGTCCACTGTGGACAGTGCTGAATGGAAATCCAGTCCTGGCACATAGGTCATGGACCCTCCACACTCTGAGGATCTTCGTCTGTATTTAAATGCCGCACCTTAACAGTGGCTACAAGGCGGATATCGGCCAGATAAGACAAAGCTTGGTAGAGCCTGTAGTACCTCTGAGATTTGGTTGACGTATATAAAGAAGAGAGATCACAGGAAAGTTTCTCTCTTCGTTATACAGTAGATGAACAGGAACATTTTCAAAATAAATGTGTGTTAATGTACTGATCCCAAAACCTCACTGTGAATAACATTTAAATCAAAGGCCAAATAAAAGGATCGGTACATTGCATGTGGTTGCCCTGCCTATTTCCAGGTGTCAAGTAGTATTAGGATTTGTATAGTGGCAAGTATATTTGAAGTCTGACTGGTAGCACAGGACTTAAAGGGACACAATAGTCACTCTAACAACTACAGCTTATTGTATTAGTTCTGCTGAGTATAATCATTCCCTTCAGGCTTTTTGCTGTAAACACTGTCTTTTCAGAGAAAATGCAGTATTTACATTACAGCCCAGTGGCCACTCCTCAGATGGCTGCTAGAGGTGCTTCCTGGGGCAGTGCTGCACAGTGTGACTGCCATTCAGTGTCTCCACCCTCTGCATGGAGACACTAAACTTTCCTCATAGAGATGCGTTGATTCAATTAATTTCTATGAGGAGATGCCAATTAGTCAGGCTGCATGACTTATGCTGGCTCTGCCCCTGATCTGCCTCCTTGATTGGCTCAGACCACCACTTCTTACCGTATATACTCGTCTATAAGTAGATCTCGTGTATAAGTCGAGTGCAGTTTTTTGACCAACAACTGTGAAATATGCTATGACTCATGGATAAGTCGAGAATACGTATTCGTATATACAAATGCAAGTGTTGTCTCCCGAACGCAGGCAGCGGTACATGGTCATCAACGGCATGGATCTCTGAGTCGGCTACACAAGCCCGCGAACTCTGCTGAAACTTGTACCTCTGCCTGTTCGACTTCCGACCAGCTAGGAGAATGGCGTTCGGGAGTCGACTTTGCCCCACATTCGACTCCCAAACGCTGTACAAAATTCTATTGAAACTAGCACTGACCCGTGGATTAGTCAACTCTGTATTTTAAAATGAAGTTTAAGACTAAAATTTCTCGACTTATACACTAGTATATACGGTAAGTGTCAGCAGACAGGGGCAGAGGCAGCAGCTGCAGACTTGAATACAAGTGAGATTTTACTATATTTAGGTGGGGGTGGCAAATGGGGATTTTAAAACTATAGGGTCAGGAATACATGTTACTGACCCTATAGCATTCCTTTAAAATGTTGAGCACAGCTCTATCACAAGTAAGGGGAAGAGGATTTTCACATTTCAGCCCATTATAACAATAGCACACAGCACTCAGAATGATTAAATGTACTGTGCTTAACAGCATTCCTACACAGCTGGTGCTTTTTGGGTTTCAAGTCCTGTAATGATTTTTAGGTTTAAGAGTTCAGAATAATTTAATCTGAGCCAAGCAGAGCTCTCAAAATGCACTGTCCATTCCAACATGGAGATTTTAATCAGTCCTGTGTGAGCCAGAAGAGATTGTTGTATTTTACAGGAGAATGTGTAATACAAGCTTTTGGCCTTGTTCTGCTAATAAGCTGCATTAAAGCGGATCTGTCATGTTTGAGATAAGAGCCTTTTGAATGCAGCACATAAAAAGTAGCTGTTATTCATATTATGCCAGAGGATTATGGGAAAAGAGACATAGAATGCTGTGTCTGTTCCTTGTCAGAAGAATGTTTTAATGTCACTGTACTTTTATTAATCAAAATGCAAAAAAATGAAAAATATATAAACATAATAAAACAAAATAAATCCAGGAACGCAGAATATGGATAACTAATTTAATTAATATTTTTATGACCAGGATTAAAAAACAAACAAACAATCTCAAATACAAATTAAAAATATATATTTTTTTTTACATACTTACCCAATAGTAAAAGAACGAGGATGACTATCAGGACCACAAAGAACGTATTCCCATATGCCACTACTAACTGTACCAGGCGAGATTTGAAGATCTTTTGCCACCTGTGTAGGGAAATAGATAGAAGCAGCATTTATTATCTTGCCATCTGAGGATGATTGCTCCTTAGTTCCTCCAAATATTATGTGAACATATCTCATAGGAAGCCTGCATGTGGATATAGGAGGTTATTTAAGGCAAAAAAATCCACTGAGACAACACATAAAAAAAAAAAAAAAAAAAAAAAAAAAAAAAAAAAAAAGAATAAAAGAGAAAACCAACCCCTTGAAATGAAAGTGGATAATTTTGGCTAATGATCCCATCCTACCAAAGAAATTCCATTCATCACACATCAGGTTTTACAAATGCCATACAACTAAAACTGAACATTTTGATCAAGACACAGTCATCGCTAACAATCCAAATATCGGTGGATGTGTAGCATGGCAAACCCTTCTGCAAGATCAGCAGCAAGGTGCTTTGAGAAAGGTCACCAAGTGTTACCTTTATATTCTGTGTCTACTGAACAAGCTCCACCGCTTTCAAGAGGCAGTAACAGATTTCATAAACTGTAAGACAGAGGGTTATTTTCCACCAATACCTTGGAGATGGCACACAAACGTAGTAAATAATAATATAACCTACATAATTGGTACATAAGTATTTTGGAAGAGACCTAAGTTAGGCGGCAGACATTGAAAAGTAAGATGAATTCAACTGTGAATGCTGACAGAGAAGTGCTGATCTAGATAATAAACCTTAAAGTGGCTCCATCACTATGTTGGTCTATTGGCTCCAAGTTCAGGGATCACTTTGTTAACCCCAGCCCCAACCAAAATGTTTATATCATGGCTTGACAAACTTGCTTTAAATCATGGAGAAAGCTAAAAAAGTAAGGAGCCAGGTTTTTTAAACTTACAAAGTTTTATTTTCAACGACAAAAAAATAAAATTCTTAAAGAGACACTATAGTCATTAGGACCACTACAGCTTAAAGGGACACTATAGTCACCAGAACAACTACAGCTTATTGAATTTGTTCTGGTGAGTAGAACCATTACCTTCAGGCCTTTTGCTGTAAGCACGGTCTTTTCAGAGAAAATGCAGTGTTTACATTACAGCCTAGTGATAACTTCACTGGCCACTCCTTTAGATGGCTGTTAGAGATCCTTCCTGGGTCATGGCAGCCTAAAATGCATCCAAACATTCAGTGTCTCCTCCCTCTGCATGCAGACACTGAACTTTCCTCATAGAGATTCAGTGATTAAATTAATCTCTATGAGGAGATGCTGATTGGCCAGGGCTGTGTTTGAATCATGCTGGCTCTTCCCGTGATCTGCCTCCTTGTCAGTCTCAGCCAATCCTATGGGGAAGCACTGTGATTGCATCAGGCCACCACTTCTGATGATGTCAGTAGACTGCAGATCTAAAGCTTCAGGCTTGAATACAGTAAGATTTTGCTATATTTATGAAGGCATGAGGGGCCCAGGAGGGCTAGATGGTGGTTTTAACACAACAGGGTCAGGAATACATGTTTGTGTTCCTGACTCTATAGTGATCCTTTAGTGTAGTGGTTCTGGTGTGTATAGCCGGTACATGCATGCTTTTCGAAGTAAACACAGCCTTTTCAGAAAAAAGTATACATTGTCGCTTAGTGACGTCGGGGTCGGAGTGAAGTCGGGCCAGAGTGACGTCATATTCCGGGTCCGGCATCACTATGCAGGTCGCAAGGAAGCAGAGCAAGGAGATCACAGCTCCCTCGCCGTCAGCATACAGAATGTGTAGCCGACTGCCTCGGAGGGTACTGGCTCACAAACCCCCCTAGTTTATATAAAGAAAAAATACAATTTAAAAAAGTGATAGAACCGCTTTAAAAGAGCACTAAAAGCAACCAATCCACTTAATCTTAATGAAGTGGTAAGGATGCAGTGGCTTTGTCCTTTAAATCCTGCAATATAAACAATGCAGATTTATTTAGAAACTCCAATGTTGACATTGCAGGGTTAAGTTCACCTCTAGTGTCTGTTATACTGACAGAGTAAAACTTGGTCATTAGACGTAGAAGCCTCCATAGATTCAACGCCATGCATGCGCATCATGTCCATCATGTCTCTTATGAGGAGCATTGGGTTGGACCATCATAGACTAGGCCATGCCTCCTCTATGACATCGCAGGGAGCGGAGAGCTAGGGGGCGCAGAAGAAGCCTCAGAGCTTGAAAGGGTAAATAAATACATTTTCTTTATTTTTCAGGCAAACCAGGGAAACTGAATATACATAGGGAAAGAGACAAAGTTTTTTATTCCCAATGCTTTAATGTATGGGTGATACTATAGTAAATTGCTTATACTACCAGTCAATAGAGGTTGACAAAACAGACATGCACATGTACCATTCTGAATATTATGTGACTACTACTAGTGGTCTGATATAAAGGACTAGGCACCATAATCGCTACATGGCACTGTAGTAGTTATAGTGTCATTAAGCTGCAGGCGCTGTCCCCAGTTCAAGTCAACTGACCCACTTAGCCAATGAATAGATTTAAATGTCGATATTTGATATTCCTAATGCAGATGTTCCACTTTGGCAATAGCCGTATGTGCAGCATGCCGACCCTTCTTTCATTGCATTGGGGACAAAAAAATGGGCATGCAGCACTGTGCTCCTCCAGTGGAATAGAAGTTAGCTGCAAGAACGGAGTTTGAATCTGTTCTCACAATGGAAGCGTCTCTAGTGGCTAGCCAGAAGATAGCCACCATAGGCATAGCGAGGTCATGAGATGTCTGGGGGCAAGTCCATTATTTCTGTCCCCCAGACTAGTTCCATGCCCCTGACAGATTGCAGGTTCCTGGCAGAGAATTTTTTTTATTTTATAATTATAACAGTAATAAGAATAAAAGTTTGTTCACTGGTATTCCAGTGGGCTCAGTATATGGTCTACTATCCTATTGGGTGCAAATGAGCAACTCTCTCAGGACGGCACTGGCTTAAGAACCAGGGTACCTAATCAGACAGGCACCTTGTGGCAGCTGCCCCCTCTCGTGCCTTCGACAGTCACTAGCATTTCTGTACCATTGCTGGGTCAAAACTCAGACCACTTTATTGAGATGGTTAGTGGTCCTTTAATGAAATTGATTACCAATATCAGAAACATGAATATTCAACTTGACTCAGCCCAGAATAGAACTAAAGACCCCACGAGGCTTGCAAAGTTGTTGCATATTTGATCCATCATCTAATGATCTAGCTCACTGGCATATCTAGATATGATCAATCCCTATATAGCTACAAATGTCGCAGTGTAACCTTTTCTCATCTGTCACAAACTCTCAACTAAAAGTAACTTCCTCCACCTGTTTTTCTCTACATTATGCCCCATCTCCAATGGCTTTATTTATCCCTCACGTTTTTCTAAATACCAACTCCCAAATGCCTACTCCTTGCTACTACTACTGTTATGGACAGAAATTAATGTTAGTAAAATGTTGTGACGAAGTGCCCTTCGCCACTTGGTCCTGGAGAGGCTTGCTTGCCAGCCTCCTCCCCTGCGACTATGGCCCCTGGGAGATTGTACCCTTTTAAACCAGCGTTTGGGCTTATGGACTTTTATTGAACTGTGTCTGGCCCTTTAAGAATCGTCTGTGGGAACATTGTGACTTTTGTGAACAATGCCCCTTTAAGACTATGGCCCCTGGAAGATATTGCCTGTTAAAGATTATTTTAGCAATTTGGATTTTAAAAGACTCTTGCTGCCCCTTTAAATTGTATAGTAGCAGTTCTGCAGCTTTAAATTGGCACTTCGGATGTAGCCAAATAGACCATCCCTACACTCTCTTATACTTTCTTTTTATAAAAACTCCACACCATCTTCACATTTAGTTCTCTATCTCCTCTATAAAACCATGCTCACATCCCACACTGATTTCACAACCCAAAGAGCTTGACAGATACAAAGATTGTTACGATAAAAAGGTGATATCACTTTTATGCATGAATCATTTACCTCTTGCACCTAACTCGGGAAGCCTATTGCAGCCAGTAAAGATGTATCTGTTCCTTCACACTTGAAGGAACACCATGGAGTCTAGAATGCAAAGATGTATTCTTAACATTATAGAGTTCCCCTACTTATTTAGGTGTGTCCCCCTTCCCCCAAAAGGGGTTTGAAAGGTGAGTTTACTTAACTTTACTCCCTTGTTGTGCTGGACTCGGCGTGGCCACTCCGCCTTCCCAGGTTAAGAACATCAAGATTCATGATTTTAGCCAATCCAAGATTAGTGCGTAGGTCAGGCAAATCACAGCACCAATCAAATACTCTCTAAGAGCAGCTTTTGATTTAGAACAGAGTCTGACTCGGGTGCTAAAGGGGAAGCGCTTCTAGCGCCTGTCAGGAAGTCAGCCATTAGAGGTGTGTTTAACCCTGCAGCGGAAACGCTCCACTTTCTACAATATTGTAATGCTTTACTTTGCATTAAAACAAAAAAGGCCACTGAAACCAGACCACTTGCAATGAAATGAAGTGATCTGGGTGCCTTTACTGGTCTTTTAACCCCTTAAGGACATGACGGAAATATTCCATCATGATTCCTTTTTATTCCAGAAGTTGTGTCCTTAAGGGGTTAAAGAACTATTCTGTGCACACATAAACTGTCATATTTGTGACGGTTTATAAAAATCTGCAATTTAATAATTGGGGGCAAAAATATTTGCCTGGCTCCCACTCAGACAGAGATTCTTAATGAGATGTACTACAGCTTATTGAGAAGCGTAGGAAAGCTGCAATTACCAACCCATGTGCTCACTGCAAAGGCAGAGGCTTCTCAATGAGAACGGGAAAAGGCTGAGGTCTATACCCCTGAAGAAAACATGAAGGAAAAAGATACATGCATATTTTCTTTGGGATATATCTACTAAATTGTTAAAGTAAAAAATGAAAACGTTTTCAATAGAGTTAATCCCTCATCTCATTTTGCTGACTCGAGTCCTTGTCCTTCTCATGACACATTCCAATATATTAATTGTGCAAGATTTTTTTCCCTTTGACTCTTGCAGTGTTGCATTAGTCTGGGCTCATACAACCTTTATCCTAGATTATGTCACCGCTGAGAGAAAACTGTTCAAAACATCTGTCTTACACGCCCAATGTTAGAAATGATCCTGCTTGCGCAACTTTAAAAAATGAGAAACTAAGAAAGTGTCCAGCAACATATTTCTGCAAATACGCTGCCGGCATTTAATTTAGGAATTTCTTAAACCTTTTTGTTTTTATCTTCAATTAGAAAACGCCCTATTGGTATTATTCTTTAGGTCCCCACACAAAATAAACACTCAAAAAGAGTTTTTAAATAAGGTTCTACTTTCCTCTATACAGCAGTGGGCGAAGCTCCCAGCGCTGCACAGCACGCCCCCGACAGACACCATGGGATCCGCGTCGAGGTCCAGTCAAAGGCTTCTCATAGAGCCGCCTTTGATTGAACAATTTACCGGGATAAGAGCACGTGCATACACTCTGAGCCAGCAAAGGGAGGAGAAAAGAGAGGGAGGGAGGAAGTAGTAAGGAGAGCGGAGGGGAAAAAAAAAAAAAAACAGTTGAGTGGATAGGAATGAGAGAAGGCTGCTTTCAGAGTTGAATGGAGGGAGAGGAGGCAAGAGTTTCCCTTATGTCTGTCGGCAGCGTGCAGGGCACATTGATGACAAACGTAAAAATATGCACAAAATTTAGATTAGCCTGTCCTGAGCAGAGTTCCACGCTGCCTAACTAATGTGTGGGTGGTGCAACTAGCCCCCATCACACACAGTTGGCAATTACACTGATTGTGAAGTGTTTCAAGATAAAACGCTGCACATTCAGACTCCTATCACCGTGACCACTTTAAAAATCAGAAGTTATCATGGTGGTTGGAGTAACCCCTTGAAGGATAACGGTCATTCAAGTTTCACTTCTTGCTCTTGAAAAGCTTTTCATTTTAGAAAACTTAATATTTTTAGATAATGCATTTTTATTTAAAAAAAAAAATGTTATCTTTTAAATCAGGCTGAGCAGCCATGCTGGGTCAGACTCTGTTGTAATCTGCCTGGTGCTGTGAAACTGGAGAAGCGGGCAAGTTAGCTTGCATAGGAGCTGGTCATATGAAAACAGAATCTCACCCAACATGGCTTCTAACACAAATTAACAAAAAACTAAACAAAATGCTTGTAATTTTTTTTAATTTTTTTTTTAAATAAGCGAAAATTTGCGAAAAGCAATTCAATATATATTGTAACACCTTTTCTCTCTCTCTCTACAAATAGAAATATTTACACAAACTGAGCAATAATTCTTGCAGTTATTGCGCACCGAATTTCGCATGATTTGGTGTTTACAATTCAATGTCGTACCGAGGTTTGCTCACAAGTATCAAACGCACAGAGAAAATGTTCAGCCCAAGCAGTCACATGGCAGCGTGGGTGAGTTAGCAGAGCCGTGCCAATCCCTATAATTAAATATTTCTAAACATGAAACCTGTAAGGCATTTGACGGGTTCTGCTGATTTATTTTTACATAAGTGCTGACACCACATTATCAATGGGCAGTTGCAGTGCATGATTTGCTTGCCTACATTCGATCCCACTAAACTGTGAGACAGCAAATTGTATTGCATGGGCATCGCCGCAATACCGGGGCTGGATGAGGTTAAAGACAGTCAACGCCCGAGCAGTGAATTTGGTTTAACATGTAAGCTGTTGGTTGCAGGTGCCACAGGGAGCTTTCGAATGCACAAAAAAAAATAAAAAATAAAAACCCTAAAACACAAAGTACCATTGCTATGGATACATTACATCACACTTAAACCCCTAATACAGAGGTGGCCAAAATGTAGATCCCCAGATGTTTAAAAACTACAGCTTCCATGATACTCTGTCATTCTAAATGCACGAAAAGCATCATGGCAGTTTTAGTTCTACAACATCTGAGGATCTACCTTTTGGGCACCTCTGTCCTAAAACATTTTTAAATATATATATTTTAAAACATTACATTTACTGTAAAGGACCCATGCACGCAGTTGAATATAGTGCACAAAGAAAAATACCTTGTTGGTGAAATGAAAGGAATACACAGCAGCAAAACAAGAAACACCTCAACGTAAAGAAAGGTTGCCACGGCGGTCCACTGGAGACTCATCTTTCACCAAATTCTAACAATCTGCAGGAAAAAAGACCACAATATATCTTAGCTTTGCAGAAAATCTAAATAAAGTTCCACAGGGTAGAAATCCAATACTGGGTTTTATACAAAGAAAGGCTAGTACATTAAGCAGGAAGGGTGTTCAGTACTGGGGAAATTTGTCTTGCAAATTAGATTCTATGTCATTTATTCTACACACTACATGTTTCAGAGATCTCAGTCTTCCTGCTTTTCAAGCAGAGAACACAAAACACCTGGGATAAAGTAGAGGCAAATAAATAAAACAAATCATCTGCTTGTATTTGTATTATTTATTTGTTTTATTAAAGTTGGTACATACAATATACATCTTAGACGATTATTAAACGGACTGGGGCTTGAATAACAAAATATAGGTGCCTATGTAAAAGCATGAAATAAAGATTGTGCCAGAGTGCATCACTGTCTCGCTTCTGAAAGGCCAAGTATGGCTATCAACTGATAGCAATGCCTTGGATCTTACTGCAAATCCTTGCTGCCTGGCAGAAGTCACTGCTGGTTAGCAGCTGCCCGGGGTGAGTCAGTCAGCAGGTAGTTGCGGGTTGTCCCCTTTAGAGCCTCGTCTTTCTAAATTTTTCCCCCAGCCAGGGTTCTGGTAGGCAGTGTGGTTTGCAGGCCCAGTCTTTGCAAAAACGCTGCCAGGTCTTCAGTGGATGACAGCATAAGTGTCTTCTCGCCATGGGGGATCATTAGTGTACCCTCTTTTCCCCATCTGTACTTGACAGACTGTTGTCTCAGGCTCCTGGCGATGGGGGCTAGCTGCCTCCTCTTAATCAGTACCGAGAATGGCAGGTCTCCATATATAGATACATTGCAGCTGCCATAGGTGACTGTCCCCAAAATCCTGAAGCGATTCAGAATTGGGGTTCTCACTGCCACGTCTCTCGGCTGTTTATCCGGAACACAGATATTATCTGCAGGGGATCATTGCACCCCCTGATGCCCATAGAGGTGGTCAGTCCCCGGACGAAGGGCAGCAGCGCCTCTCCTCCCACAGCCTCTGTTCCGGCGTCTATGGCAGGCCTCCAGTGTAGCCACTGCACGGTTTAGTTGGTGTACCTGCAGGGTAAGCCCTTTCGATTTGGCTCTGTGCTTCCTGTAGCTGGCCGTCTCTGGCTGTCTTCCTCTCTTCCACTGATTTTTTGATGTCCGGTAAACAAAGGTTTTCTGGGCAGTGTTGCTTTCTATTCTTGCTATTGTGTCATCTGCTGGGGGCTGCAAGTAGTTTATTCTCAGACTGGATATTTGTGTCGCTTGAGTCAATTTATTGTGGGGGTCGCATCAGAGCGCCGTTTATAGACGTCTGCTCAGCTGGCCATGCCCCCCACAAGCAGACGATTTTGAAGTATGGAGTTGGAGATTTTATCATACTATAGAGCTATTAATACTTTTTAAAAAAAAGTAAACAAATTAGTTCATTACACTAATTTATTACAGAGTTCACATGCTACTGAATGTGGGAGATTGTGTGAGTGCAATTAAAGGTATGCTCGTGATGCAGTTAGTGTCACTGGAGACAAGGTAGTGCAAATCTCTCCTAAAGTGGACATGCCAGTCAGATGTGTGTTATAGCCAGTCCATGAGCAGAGCTGAATCAATGTTGCACGGGCAAAATGCCCTGAGTCAGTCTGTTTAATATGAACAAGCTTAAAGGAACACTATAGTGTCAGGATGCAAACATGTATGACTGACACTTTAGGTTTAAAATAACGGTTTAGGTCCAAGGCCCCCCTTTAACCCTGTTAAAAAGAGGATTTACTCACGTGTTTTCCATTGGCCTGCGGTTCACCTCACGGCTGGCCCCACCTCCGGTTCACCTACATGGCCAAATTTGACGATTTCAGCCAGCCAATCTATAGTGCATGTGTGGCAAAATGCTGAACGTTAGTGCTGTGCACTGGGCAGCACTAACCCAGGAAGTACCTCTAGTGATTGTCTAAGTTGTCACTAGAGGTGTTCCTAGGCAGTAATGTAAATACTGCTTTTTCTCTGAAGTAGGGCAGTAGACACCTGAACAACTACATTAAGCTGCAGTTCTGGTGACTATAGTATCCCTTTAATGATGCACAGGCCATGCTTATAGGAGATATTTCCCTGGTGTTACCAAAAGTGGGACACGAGAGAAACTTATTTTGGGTGGAGAAGCCATACTGCGCCAACCAGATGGTCTCTCTGAGACCACTTCGCTGGCGACCGCCTCCAGTCTCGGTGCACAATAAGATAGAGCACAGGCTGGGGAACTCAGTGGCTGCACCCAGAGTCATTTAGTGAAATTTAGCAAGGCTGTTCTTTTTAAATCTGTGACTGTCACGCATGAATTACTCTAAAATATAAAACTGTGTGTATTGTTAACAATAAGAAAGGATTTTTGTTGATATTGAAGTCTTTGTGCATAGAGAACATAATTCATGCATTACGACTCTTCAAAGAACTTAACTGAACAATTGTTATTTAGAAGCATTGAATGTATTTCATACCACACTGGAACTTTCATCGTTTAATATCAAATTACCGTGGCAATGATGACTAAAAGACAATATTTCACGTGTACTGCAATGGTATTCATCATACAATTTGAATAGTTGATGTCGGAGCTCTGTGCAGGGATTCAAGTTCTTGCACGCCAAGCCTGTATATTACTTTGTGTTACTGCCTTTTGGCAATATGAAAAAGTAGGTTTTAAATCTCTGATGTTTATAATCTTATCTTCATCTACAGCACATTCACTTCACCATTTAACTCCATGGACATCACAATAGGAAGTCTTATTGTATAAATTAAATAAGTTTATGACAAAGTTAAAGGCTTGATTGTCTGTTGTCCTTCCTTGTACCACTTTTGGCAAGTACTAAGCACTGCATGCTAGGAACATCCCACTATACTTGTTGTTTTGGAGATGCTCTGACCCAGTTGTCTAGCCTTCACTATTTGGTCTTTGTCAAAGTCACTCAGATATTTTCGCTTGCACATTTTTCCTCCTTTCAAAACATGAAATTCAAGAATTGACTGTTCACTTGCTGCTTAATATATCCCACCCTTTGTCAAGTACCAATGTAACAATATAATTAACGTTATTCACTTCACCTGTCAGTAGTTTTAATGTTGTGGGTGATTTATGTGTGTAATATTATATTATAGGGAGGTGTGATGTGTCTGCTCTGCGCTCCCCCACCCTTGCGCGTCACATTCCGATCCCATTTAATGCTTTCCTATAGACGTCAGCGTCTTCTCACTGTGATTTTCACAGTGAGAATTGTGGAAGCGGCCTCTAGCGGCTGTCAGTGAGACACCCACTAGAGGCTGGATTAACCCACAGGTTAATCCTAGTTGGACATGGCACCCAGACCACTTCATTGAGCTGAAATGGTCTGGGTGCCTATAGTGGTCCTTTAAAGACACAGCGTGCCTTCTTATTAATTATATGTTCTACTAAATCAAAGACTCGAGATTTATATTGTACTGTATCTACCAAGTGCAGCAATTCCCTACAGGTAGACCATTACAGATTACTGTTGAGTTAGTTGGGCCAATCTGGAGACATGCCTCTTTGTTTGCGTCCCAGCTGAGCTATTTGACACTGTAACTCTATACTTTGGCGCTATTTGTAATCACATCAAGTGCTAACTCTAACATTTAAACCAAAGTATATGAAAACTGAGAACAGACAAAAGCTTAGAGAAACTCAGTAGCTTGGCCTTCGGTAAATCCTCACTGAGACCTCCTCTTGTAAGTTCACATACTTATGTGTCTACAGTACTTTTTATACATGACATATAGAGGTCTATAACCATGGACACAATGTTCTTCTAATTCTACAAAAAGCGCCAGAATCTGACTGCCATATACCTGTATCTTATCTTTGACATACGACCGCCTCTGTCGTTGTGGCACAGCAGGCTTTACAGTTATATTCTGTACAATAAAAAAATATATCCCCGCTCAGAGTTTTTGTTTATGCTACGGAATATGATCTCTCTGCATTGGCACAGCAGACTGACCCCATCCTTAAAGGACCACTCTAGGCACCCAGACCACTTCAGCTTAATGAAGTGGTCTGGGTGCCAGGTCCTTCTAGGGTTAACCCATTTTTTCATTAACATAGTTTCAGAGAAACTGCTATGTTTGTGAATGGGTTAAGCCTTCCCCTATTTCCTCTAGTGGCTGTCTCATTGACAGCCACTAGAGGCGCTTGCGTGCTTCTCACTGTGATTTTCACAGTGAGAGCACGCCAGCGTCCATAGGAAAACATTATGAATGCTTTCCTATGTGACCGGCTGAATGCGCGCGCAGCTCTTGCTGCGCGTGCGCATTCAGCCGACGGGGAGGAGAAGAGGAGGATCGGAGGAGGAGAGCTCCCGCCCAGCGCTGGAAAAAGGTAAGTTTTAACCCCTTTCCCCCTTCCAGAGCCGGGCGGGAGGAGGTCCCTGAGGGTGGGGGCACCCTCAGGGCACTATAGTGCCAGGAAAACGAGTATGTTTTCCTGGCACTATAGTGGTCCTTTAAGGGCATTCTAGAACCAAAATGCCAGCAAGTTCACTGCTGCACGAAAGATACAACAACCCCAGACGATCGCTTCTTCCTTCTTATCAGTCTGATACGCTTTGGAATATGTTCACTCTGTAATGAAACAAGTGAGCAAAAACTATTCTGAGACCTAAGCGGGGATTTAAGTAGGGCAAGCTACAGAGTTTCTGTAAGCTTTTGTCCATTCTCAGATTCTTTGTTTTTGTTGCAAAGCATTAACTCTGCTCTACCCCAAGATAAAAGGGTAATCCAGACATGAGCCCCATGTTCACTGTGCCTAGAGGGGTAACAGCTACACCTCACTGACGAGGCTCAAAGAAGGCCGAAACGATCGTCTGGGGTTGCTGCATCTCAGCATTTCGGTTCTGGACTGCCTGGCTGGGTGGGACCAGTCTCATATGCTTCAGATATGTTATCTCTGTAATGGCACAAGTGAGCAAAAACTATTCTGAGACCTGAGCAGGGATAAGCTCTTGTCCATTCTCAGAGTTCTCATTCTTTTGTTTCTATCTAAAATGTATCCTATTCCTAACAATCCACTCTTTAGTGGTTTGGCCCCCCACAGCTAAATTAGAAACATAGAATGTCACGGCAGATAAGAATCATTCAACCCATCTAGTCTGACCATTTTTCTAAATACTCTCATTAGTCGCTGGCCTTATCTTATAGCGAGGATAGCCTTATGCCTATCCCACAAATGCTTAAACTCCCTCACTGTGTTAAGCTCTACCACTTCAGCTGGAAGGCTAGTCCATGCATCCACTACCCTCTCAGTCAAGTAATACTTCCTGATAGTATTTTTTAAACCTTTGTCCCTCTAATTTAAGACTATGTCCTCTTGTTGTGGTAGTTTTTCTTCTTTTAAATATAGTCTCCTCCTTTACGGTGTTGATTCCCTTTATGTATTTAAATGTTTCTATTAATTTAGGTGTTTCAAGGGCTGCATAAACAGAAACAAAGTGTTTTAACTCCTAAATGGCAGAGAATTGAGCAGTGAAACCTGAGAGTCATGATCTACACACAATAACTGCTTCATTGAGCTAAAGTTGTTTAGGTGACTATAGTGTCCCTTTAAGCTTTCCTTGTAAGTTTTATCTTGCACTTGATGAACCAGTTTAGTAGCCCTTTTCTGAACTCTCTCTAAAGTATCAATATCCCTCTGGAGATATGGTCTCCAGTACTGCGTACAATACTCCAAGTGAGGTCTCACCAGTGTTCTGTACAATGGCATGAGCACTTCCATCTTTCTACTGCCAATACCTCTCCCTATACAACCAACCATTCTGCGAGCATTCCCTGCTGCTCTATTACACTGTTTGTCTACCTTTAAGTCATCAGAAATAATCACCCCTAAATCCCTTTCCTCAGATGTTTAGGTTAGGACTCTATCAAATATTCTGTACTTTACATTTGGGTTTTTACGTCCAAGATGCATTATCTTGCACGTAAATGTCAGCTGCTACAGCTCTGACCATTGTTCTAGTTTTCTAAATCACTTGCCATTTGGCTTATCCCTCCTGGAACATCAACCCTGTTACATATCTTAGTATCATCAGCAAAAAGACATACCTTACCATCAAGACCTTCTGCAATATCACTAATAAAAAATATTAAAGAGATTGGGTCCAAGTATAGATCCCTGAGATACCCCACTGGTAACTAGACCTTGCTTTGAATATACTCCATTGACTACAACCCTCTGTTGCCTGTCACTCAGCCACTGCCTTACCCATTCAACAATATTGGAATCCAAACTTAAATATTGCAGTTTATTGATAAGCCTTCTATGTGCGACAGTGTCAAATCGAGGGGGCAGGGCCTGATTGCCGAGCCGAGCGGTTGCAAGCAACTAGAGCTCCCGGGGTACATGACTTTCTAAATCGACACTCACATGGATACAAGCAGAGTCCAGCTACCCACAGGCTCCCACTCGATCCCGGACTCCGTGACTAAACACGAGATACCAAATATGTGGACACTTCACCGAAACCCGCTCGGCTCCACCATGTGGCCTACACTCGCGGACAGCGCGGGGGAGACGGCCGCTATCCCGCCACCTCCATACCTGGCTGACGACACGCAATGCCCGCGTTCCCCCGGTGGGGGTTATCCCGGTCCACATCGACCTGGCCCATAATCAGCCGTGGGCCCCAGAAATCCCCTGAAATCCACATCACATTTACAAAATGGAGGATGTTGGACAGGCCCTCACACAAATGCCCTCTCCGCCCTTACACGAGCGGCTAGACACCCTTTTCCGCTGCTTCTGGGAACAACTGGAGCTTCAGGCTGCCCTCTACATCAGACAGAATCGCGGAGGGATGCGGGCAATCAGAGCGGCACGGGCCTATCCCGGGCGCAGCGACAACCCAAGCCTCCACCACTCACACCAAAAGCCCATCCGGACCAAAGGTCATCGACCGCGACGCCGGACAGCCACAGGAGACCGCAACTAAAATAGGTTAAAATTCCTTTACGGTAATAAAATATAGTAAAGCAGCTATACACAAAATAAAGTTCCTTAAAAATCTTTACCTAAATATAAATAAAAAAAATAAGAGTCAGCGCTATCTGTGATAGCCTTACATAGGCAATCAGTTTAAATGTGAAAATGTACAACTTATTTTTGTGAATTAGTAGTATATCTATACTGAGCTCTATCACAATAAATTGGATTAAACACAGAATTAAGTTCAAAACTTGTTTAAGAGTCCAAAAGTCTTTAGGGGGTTAATCTTTGTCTTTCAGCAGAATTCCGTAGATATATTCTAGCTCACTGCAGATTGTACCTTGAAAGGTTACAAAAAAAGGAAGTCTGGAAAAAGCCCAGTACAGCTGGCGAAACGCGTTGAAGTGAAATCGGCTTGTAGAGAATGGAGGTCTGATGAGGACAGCCTAATTCATATAATCCACACGCAACATTCCGCCTCATCAGCGCTGAGATTATATGGCAGTAACAGTGGGCAGTGACAGATTACTTAATGCCGCGGCGAGAGAGCTGTAGTTTCCCTACTCACCTTCCTCGTGCGGCTTGCAGGGATGCCGGGTTATGACGTCACCTGTCATCCCTGCAAGCCACGTGAGGAAGGTGAGTAGGGAAATTACAGCTCTCTCGCCGCAGCATTAAGTAATCTGTCCGCCGCCCCCCCGCCACGCTCTCCATTACCTGGCTGCCCCCTCCGCTTTGCACAGGCTGGCCGCCCCTCTCCCTCCCTGAGCAATAAATGAGCCGGCCGTCCCGCTCCCTCTGTCAGCCGCCTGCCTCCCTCTCACAGCTCTCTGTGATCCGGTCTCCCTCCCTTACTTGTCAATGAGCCGGCCGCCTGCATCAGTCAACAGCCTTCCTAAGCCCTCTGTGATCCGACTGCCTGTCTCTGCTCAAAGGCAGCCGGTCACCTTGAGGGCTGAACAGGCTCACAAATCCCAGGTGCCAGGACAAACTTCCGGGTCGCCATGGCGACCTGGTGCATGGGATTTGTCGAGCACTGCCATAAAATATTCCTTTAATGGTTGACACAGCATTATGGGAAATGTAGTAAAAAGTAATGATGTCTGTGGACCATATCTCCCATTGTGCTAAAAAAGCAAGAGAAGCTTAACCGCAGTCACAAGAGAATGGCTAACTTTAGCAAACCTCATTTTTTATAGTGGTCAATATTTACCAGGCCACAGTGCTCCTCGACTGTCACATCAAGGCACACCTAACAGTCCAGGATTTGGGGATTACCAGGGTGTGTCTAAAGTGTTTATTTATTTGAAACACTTTAGATACACCCAGTTAACTTCCAAATCCTGGACTGTAAGGTGTGCCTTGACGAGCACTGTATCAGATTAAAGGGTGGTTGAGCATCCTAGGAGTGTAGTCTTTAAAACTGAATGACACATGCACCAAATAAGATACAGTCAGTGAATGTTGTCAAAAGAGAGAAGGGAAGGTAAGTGATCCCTGGTAGGCGATAGATTCCACACACTCCCACAGTGTCATCAGCTTTCTCTTAGAATTTCCTCACATCTCCCCAATATAACTTTGCCCTCTCTAAATCTTATGTATTCTTGCCAAACCCATATCACCCCTGCTGTCCTCTTCAGTTCGCAATAGTAAAGCATTGAGGTCTATGAAGACCGCAACATTCTCCATAGATATAACCTATTTTCCTGCACCTGGTAACAGCTGGGGGATTGAAACTTCTTCACGGCAGCAGCTCCGCCCACTGTCAATAAGTGTCAGATAGATGAAATATACAGGGACAAACTAGTCCCTACTTTGTCTCAGTGTATCTCTTGTCTAGGGAGGTTCCATAGCAACTGAAGCGCATGCACTGCAGTTAATAAGCTTGTGAGAGTAAACACCTTCTGGGATAATTATATTCTGCTTTCTCAGGTCAGTCAATGCCACAATCTATACATTTGCTAGCAAAAGCAAAAAGCTCTTTAAAAAGAAAAAGGGAAACCAGACTAGAGGCATTCTTTAAGCTTTGTGCACAACCCTATTAGTACAGTATTTAAATTAATAGCCATTTCTTTTCCAGTTTATGAATTTGTGACAAATCAACACGAATCAAATCCTCCAATAGATATTTAGAGGATAAGAAATATAAATGTATAATCAATAAACATATAAACACACACGGAACAGTACATGGCCGATTAGAACAGTCAAGTGGGCAGTGAACATTTACTGGCTGTGTTACAACTATCCAAAGCAAAGAAATTTGAAAGTGCTCAAAATAGATTACCGAATGATGAGATATACGAATTAACCCCAGGCGAGTGTCATCTGCATAAGTACATTATGCACCTAAATTAGAAGTATCGAGGTTGAACAAGTAATGATTTAGCAATTATTTGTCTACATTATAAAGAATCTACTAATAGTCTAATGATAAAAAGGAAGAGCAGTCAGGAATAGAAAGATCAACCACTGTCAAAATGTTAGATTAAACGAACACGCCATGCACCATAACTACTACTAGTTTGCTGTATTGTTTATGGTACATTGCATGTCCTAGTGCCTCTCCTAATGTAAGCAAACTGTTAAACATATGTAAATTGAGCTAAGCCCTGGGAGGGGATGGAGGCAGGTAAATGCTGAGGGTATTGTAGGGTAGAGAGAGCAGGCAGACGCATACTGACAGGGCTGCCTGGATAACATTAGAATCTGGTCCTAAAAAAAAAAAATAATTAAATGGTTGGGGGGCGGGGGAGAAATAATCAATTTATATCACTTAAAACCAAAATATATCATTACTTAAAAATAACATATATATTCAACTATTAAAATTAAAATAAAAAAGTGAAAATTGATGACAGCTATCTTTAGAGGCTGGCTGGTCTTCATGGGAAATCTATTTCAGAGACATTTGTCATTTAAAGAGTCACCCATTGTAGTTTTATTGTATGTTAAGGCAGGTATTCTAGGTGTTTGTGTGTGTCCCAAGTATGTGTGGGAGGCAGGCTGACAACAAGGAAATCTGTCAAGCATTCCCAAGTGAATAAAATAAGATTTTTGGAGGTTCCAATTTAGAATGCAATAGATAGTTTGTATTCAGCCTTGTTATGTGTTAAATACTCTGGGTGTTTAATGGGAGAGGCCCTGGGATCAACTCACGCGTCAGTTCTGTAGCTTGCACAGCTGCCAACTACTTTCCTCACCCCTTCACTTCCGGGTAATGCAGCTCAACACTCCCAGAGTGAGGCGTGGAACATGTTTTTTTTTTCAACAAACTTTATTAAAACAGTAACCATTGCTTTATAGCCATTTAGATAAAGGACCACTGTCATCAATTTTTTTTTTTTTTTTAAAGTGTATCACATTTTATTAAATGTATTTTTTTTTTTTTTTTAATTATGGATATTGATTTAATAAAAAAAAATATTTCATACATTTTTTTTTATTTTTTTTACACCTGGCTGAGCAGACACGTCGGGTCGGATTCTACTGTTAATCCGAACCGCTGGTGATCAATCCAAGTTGCCTGCTTGTTTGTAGGTTTGATACCGGAGAAACTGACGGAAGCAAAGCACAGAGAGATGGACACAGGTTTCTTCAGGAAGGAAGAGATTCTTTATTGGATCACCGATCGGGACTCAGAGGGACTAATGTCACCAAAAATACAGCAAGTTCTGAGCCCTGAACAATAGTGCAGGCTCCCTATATAGGCACATAACTCCTCCCATATTAAGCTCCACCCGCACATTCTCTTGACCAATCATTACAAATAAGAATTAACTTCCTGCTTGACCGCATGGCTTGTCCAGCACAATGGAGGAGGGGAATACTACATCCTGTATTCTTGCACATGCTCCGTACACTACTGATCGTATCTTGCCTCGTGCAACCAACTGATCGATACGTCAGCATATGCACGTACACATGCCACGTGGTAATCTCGGCCTACTAAATTTATTTTTACCGAGATTCCACCACATTCCCCCCTTTGATGCCTCTTGATATTTTACAATTACTTGAGGCATCACTTAACCTTGGTTTGCATACACCACAAGTTACCTTTGAACCAGACCAGACTTATCCTATGATGTGAATCTTCAACACTCGTCTTCCTGCATTGGTTCTCCCTGATCTAGAGCCTTATATTTATAAATTGCCATTATCTGTGCAGCAGCCTTCCTCTCTGCTATATTTTCTATCAGGCTTTGCACAGACCTAACTACTAAGGGTATAAGACACGGCAGGAGTAGACACAACATTAAAATCAGTAGGACTCCACCTACCACTGCCTTAAGCCCTCCAAACCACTCATACCAGCTACCAAACCAACTACTTGGATTGTACCCTTTCCATACCTGAGTAGGCACATGCGCTAGTTTAACCATATGGCTAGTAAGCTCAGCTATTGCTTGCCCTTCGTCATCTATTTGAAGACAGCAATTGCTCAGGTTAAACTTCCCACATACACCTCCCTCTACTGCCAAAAGATAATCCAAGGCTAATCTATTTTGGTAAACTGCTGTCCTCATCCTGGTATTATGCTTCGCTAGAAGATTGAGCGCTTGTGATGTCTCGTTAGTAATGATCTCAACCACCGCCTGTAACCTTATAATGCGGTTGAGCATATAAATAGGGGTTCTATAACCAAAGGTACCATCCTCTGCCCACGTGGCTGGCCCATAATAATCTATAATACGCTGGGGAGGCCATTCATTATCTTCCCAGGCACCTATCTCTATGGGTCCCCTTTTCTTCCTATGATTCACATCATACACTTTAACACCTAAAGTCTCACCTGTTTCAATAGGCAACAAGAAGAAGGATGGTTTTAACATACCCAACACACATGCCCCTTCCCAGTCCTGTGGTAACTCCGAATAGGCCTTCTTACCACAGATCCAGTACAAATTCGCTGGGGCTCTCCAGTTAGATGTGATGGATAGATCAAACCATACGTCCTTTAAATTGGCATATCTTGCAAACGGGTTAGATGGTTCTGAGACATTTGAAGCCGACCACCAAGTTGTATTCTTTGTATCATCATCATAAGCTTTTTGCCCTAGACAAGTTAATTCTCCTACAGAAGTATTATACATCATTCCTTTCCTCGCTATGCAAACATAACCTATGATGGAGGTCTTCAATCTCCACTCAGATTTACCTCTAACACTCATATGATAGTCGGCTTGTGTAGATATTAATTGGTCAACTGCCTCAGAACCGGACATTACCTCCTTTGCTTCCCAAGGCCATTGGTCTCCCATGTTAGTACCTCCACACACATAGCAGTTGGTAACATTAAGACTACCGGCAATACTCTCGGCTAAATCAATGAACAAGTTTTAGCATTATGGGGGATCTTATTATCTATGCTCATCTCTTCATAAAAGGAATGGTATACTTGATGAGTTTGGGAGGTTACCGTATCAGTCTCTATCCCTATAAACAATATTGTCCCAGGGTCTAAACCCGTCCCATATATTTGAAACCCAAATAAATTACCATATTTATCTAAGAACTTGTCAGGGTTATTTATAAGTATATGGATTGGATTGCATTCCATAGACTTACAATATGGATCAGTAGGCAACTTAGTCACAATCATGTCCTTGTCTGCTGTCTGTCCCCAAGTCGCCCACCCCACACAAGACCAATATGGGCAGAAGTTATAATCTCTATTTGGGCATCTTGGACTTACATATTTATTTTTACTACTGGGACAAATATATTTATCGTTAGACCCATACGTCCTCTCCCATCTAAGATCCCCACATACATTCCACGGCTTTCTACCACTTGATATTGCTTTACACGCATCAAATAGCAGAGCACCTGAAGAATATACGGATTCTAATACCGTCTTATTAATTAGGGTCCCCTGAGGATCTCCATTTCTGAGAGTCAACCAAATTGTACGGGGTTGATACTCAGGACTGAAGCACTTAGGTTCTCCTACTCCTAAATGACACACACTATATTCTATATTTAAGTATCTACATCTTGATACATCTCCTTTACACTCATATTGCGAATGCCAAATTAAGGTCTGGGATATATGGTTACCTGTTCTTGTAGTCTTAATGCATACCTCACAGCTAGGAGTGTCGGTACCTCTACCTTCCTGAATATAAAAATACACATAAATAAACATTATTAAAAATACATCTTTCGTCGTCATCCTCAGTCTTCGTCCGTGCGAAGGCACCTCAGCTTCCAGGATGTAAGGGCTGCAGGGAATGGAGTTCTGCTCGTCTTCACAGGGGTCCCCTCAAGACTTTCCCTGACTTATACACTCGTTGGTGAGTGGACAGGCTTTATTATGGCCTTCTCACTCACTTACCAAGTCTCTGAAACAATAAAATTTGTAATCCACAAGGTTCCTCGTCACTCCGACTGAGTCGTGCGTTTTAACCGGATCTTGCAGGGATTCTCTGGATTTGCTGTAACTTGCCAGGAATCGGCTGCTGCTGGTTTAACCCTGGAGTGATGTATCCACGGAGCCACTTCGGCTACTTTTATCGCTGTAGGGGTAGACAGAAGAACAACATAAGGACCTCTCCACTTGGGCCCTAACGGCACATTATTCCACTCTTTAATCCACACTTGGTCGCCTGGGTGGTAACTATGAATTGGGGGATAAATATTCACAGGTAATCTATCTTGTACCCATTTCTGTACCTCCTCCATAGTCTTACCCAACTCTACAACCTGCTGCCGGGTAATTCCTTCTCCCAACTGACTCAAATCCCCCCTTAAGTTACCAAGCACGGGAGGTGGTCGCCCGTACATGATTTCAAAAGGAGAGAGGCCCATCCTTCTGGTAGGTGTACTACGGATTCGCAATAGAGCTATGGGCAAGAGAACGTTCCACTTAAGTTGGGTTTCCTGACACATTTTAGCCAACTGATTCTTAATAGTTCTATTCATTCTCTCTACCTTACCAGAACTCTGGGGTCTATATGCCGTATGAAGCCTCCACTTTATACCAAGCATATGAGTCAATTGTTGTAGGCACTGATGAACAAAAGCTGGACCATTGTCCGATCCTATAGAGCAGGGTAGTCCATATCGGGGTATTATTTCTCGTAGCAGGAATCTCACGACTTCTCCTGCTTTCTCTGTACGAGTAGGACATGCTTCTACCCAGCCTGAATAGGTGCACACCACTACCAGCAGGTAGCGATGTCCACCCGATTTAGGCATCACTGTATAGTCAATTTGTAAATCGGACATGGGAAGTCCCCCCATAAACTGGACTCCTGGTGGCTTTACTGGTCCTTGTCTTGCATTATTTTTAGCACACGTTACACATCTACGTACAATGGCCTGAGTCAAGTTGGACAATCTTGGTATGTAGAAATGTTTTCTGAGAGATTCTTCTGTACTGTCTCTCCCAGAATGTGTCCCGTTATGATAGTTTTGGACAATTTCTACCGCTAGTGATGCTGGAATAACTATTCTTCCATCTTCTAATTGATACCATTTGTTCTCCAAATACTTTCCAGGTTCAGTCCTTAACCACTCCTCTTCTTGAGCTGTATAAATTGGAGTCCATTGAGACAGTGGAGTTGGTATAAGAGCAGCTATATGCCCCACATATTCCTGTCTTCCTGATTCAGCAGCACGCTTAGCTGCACTATCTGCCATCCGATTCCCTTTGGTTACATCACCATCTCCTCTCAGATGCGCCCGACAATGTATAATACCGACTTCTTTCGGCTCCCACACTGCTTCCAATAGTTGTAGGATCTCAGCTGCGTATTTGATTTCTTTGCCTTCTGAATTCAATAGTCCTCTTTCTTTATACAAAGCTCCGTGGGCATGAGTGGTTAAAAACGCATACTTGGAGTCCGTGTAGATGTTCACTCTTAAACCTTCAGCCAATTGTAACGCTCGTGTCAGTGCTATCAATTCTGCCTTTTGTGCTGATGTTCCTTTTGCCAGTGGCCGAGCTTCTATCACCTTGTCTATCATTGTTACTGCATATCCTGCATAGCGCATCCCTTCTTTTACATAACTACTGCCGTCGGTGTAATATTGAACATCAGGGTTCTGGATGGGAAAATCACAAAGATCTGGTCTACTTGAAAATACTTCATCCATTACTTCCAAACAATCATGTTGACTTTCAGTAGGTTGTGGCAAAAGGGTAGCTGGATTTAAGGTATTTACAGTCTCTAAATGCACTCTTGGGTTTTCACACAACATTGCTTGATACTTGGTCATACGGCT